AACTCTCGGAAAGGTGGGTCAGGGCAGTGCACCTTTGGGGTCTGGCTACATGTGCACACAGGACCCAGGCTACCGTGGGCATTTCATTATCCTTCCCCGGAGAGCAACTTTATGCTTTATGTCTGGTATCTGGGGGCTTGTTTTCCCAGGTGGGATTCGGAAGATGTGGGTTTTGCTCAAGGACTTTGGGGTCTGGGCAGCCTGGGTTTCTCCCAAGTGGACATTCCTGTGCTGGCTGCTATTAGCATGGGATGGGATGTGGACACAACCTGCCTGTGGGCTTGTGAGCCCCGAGGGACCGGCGGGAGGATCTCAGGGAGGGCCGGAGGGTACACAGAAACCGCTTTTCCATCAAAGCCAGAAAAAGGAGGGGGCGGGGTGGGAAATCTTAGATAGCCCTTCTCTCTTCCTGGACACACATCACTCACAACTCGTTTCCTGAAAGTCCTAATACACTGCAGCGGTGAGAGACGGCTTCCTGCCGATCTGCTGAGCCAGCTCCTTGTCAGGGAGGAGATGGGAACAAGATGTGGTCAGAGAAGGGGTGGCTGGGCCGAGCGGGGCTGCTCAGTGGCCCTGTGGCCCCCCTGTGAGGGGACAGCAGTGTCTTTAGTCCTGAGAGCAGTGTCGGTGACCACATGAGCATAGATGGGCCTGGCTTGGGGCAGTGGGGAGCATTCGAGAGCAGCATTTCATCTATCAGTAAAATTGCACAGATGGTGGTGATGAAACATGACCCTTCCTTTTGCTTCAAGAAGGAAGGACCTTCCTGGCCAACATCTGCAACCCCATTGGGGGAAAGGCTTGTTATTTCAACAAAAGAAAAATAACTCGCCCTGAAGTTCTCACATGTCCATCTTCTTCCTGCCCTGTGCTTTGCTTATACCTATTTCTCCTCTCTGTACTTCGTCTCATCTCCTTTGTGTGACAGCACATGTGTCCTCAAGGTCGCTGTCATCACCACTAAATTGTGTTTTGGACTCCGGGTTCTTGGCGGTGCTTTAATTTTATGCTTCCACCTTCTAAGAAAAACAGCAGAGAGCTGCTTTAAAAGTTTGGTCAGGACCAGCAGACCTGGCTTTGAACCTGGCCCTGACACTGTGAGAGCTTGGACAGTTCCAGGTCCCGGTTCCCAGTGTCCTCCGTTACAAAATGGGGAAAGGCTTAGTACCTTCCTCGGGGTGTGTCTCGAAGGTGAAATAATTGAACACTTACATGCATGTGAACTGTTTTGATTGCAACTTGTCTGGGTTTCCCAGTGTCAGAAAGGTCCAGGATGTGGTGGAGGCAGGAAGGTGGTGGGGGCTGGAAGGTGAGGTTTTTTTGATGTTTCTGAAGTTTACCTTCCTTAAAAGTATGTTGAAATCTTGTTGTGTAGGGCGGTGGTTCTGCTCAGAATCACTCAGAGTTGTCACAATAGATGGTTAGACCCCAACCCCAGAGTTTTGGCTTCAGTATATCTAGGATGAAGCCCAACCGTTTGCATTTTTAACTAGTTCCTAGGCAGTGCTGATGTTGCTGGTCCCACAGGGTTATTAGGTAGAGGAAGAAGCAGATTGGCCCTTGTAGATTCAGAAGACAGAACTACCAGTGAGAAGTAGTTTTTGGTTCAATGTAAGAACTTTCTTTAACTACTAGATATGGTCAAATATGGAGTGGGTGGTCTGGGGAGCTCCTTGTCACTGGATATGTCCAGGGCTGAATGGCCATCTGGCAGATTCCTCTGCAAGGTAGAAGGTTCATTCATTTATTCATTCCTCCACTTATTCACCAAATAAACTTGTATTGCCTGCCTGGTAGGAGCTGGAAGCTGGGGAGAAGCCGTAAACAAGGCAGCCAGGTCCCCTGCTCTTAGGGAGCCAGAGTTTGGCTATGATTCCTCAAGTCCCTTTAAATGCTGAGGCTCTGAGTGTCCTGTGAGTGCCCGAGGACTGACTAGAATGTGGTCACCTGTGAGGTTCGCTCTGGAAGGCTTTCTTTGGAGCATCTTTTTTTTTATCCTCACCGAAGGACATTTTTGCATTTATCTTCAGATAGAGTGGGAGGGAGAGAGGGAGGAAGAGAGAGAGAGGGAGAAATATTGATACGAGAAAGACACATCAACTGGTTGCCACCCATGCGACCCCAGCTGGGGCCTGGGACAAACCGCAACCGAGGCACGTGCCCTTAGTGGGAACCCAACCCAGGACTCTCTTGTCCGCAGGCCGACGCTCTAACCGCTGAGCCAAACCGGCCAGGGCTCTTTGGAGTATCTTAATGTCACCAGATGAATCTCATTTCTCCCCCTAAGACCGAGAAGAGGCCGAGAATGTATTTATCAGGAGTGCATTTTCTGTGGGAAATTTTATGCCCCACTGGCACCCAGATGGACCATTAATCTCTGAACCCCTGCCTAGCTGTCCATTAGGCAGTCTGTGAAACCAGACCCAGGAAGCGGGGCTGCAGGAATGAGCTCATTGCTTTCTTACTGCTCTCAGGTAGGATACTGGAGAGTTACAGGCTGGGGAGATTTAGAGGGAAATAGGTAAATTCCACCATTTTTGCTGGGTTCTTAAAGCAGTGATGATCATCACTAACCTTTACTGAGTTCCACTCTGTACCCACTTGGTGTTAAGCCCTTTTCATGCGTTTTATCATACTCTTATGACAGTCCTATCAAGCAAGGATATTATCTTTGTTCCTGAAGAAGAGAAAACAGACATTTAGAGGGATAAAGTGACTTGCTCATGGCCATAGAGACAGTAAATGTCAGAACTGACATTGAGACCTCAGTCTCTCGGACTCAAGACCTAGTTCTCAGCTCCTAGCATGCTGACCAACTCATTACTTACTCCTTCATTTACCCGTGCCTTCATTCAGTAATCAGTTAAGTCATTTTTTTTTTTTGCATTTATCTTTAGATAGATCGGGAGGGAGAGAGGGAGGAAGAGAGAAAGAGAGAGAAACTTTGATGTGAGAGAGACACATTGACTGATTGCCACCCACACAACCCCAACTGGGACCAGGGACAAACTGCAACCAAGGTACGTGCCCTTAGTGGGGACCGAACCCGGGTCGCCCTGGACCACGGGCCGATGCTCCAACAGCTGAGCCAAACCGGCCAGGGCACTTTAATCATTCTTTTATTGAGTAAATGCTAAACGCTGATACATACTGGTGAGCAGAGTAGCTTGGCCTCTGTCCCCATGGGGCCCACAGTTCTTCTCCCTCAGACAAATGGGTGACTTCTCCCTAGATTTTAGGCTGCTTAGATGCTCGGGGGAAAAAGAAAGGGCTGGGAGACAGAACTCGGCCAGTTAGCTACTGCCCCAGAGTTTCCATGTGATGGGAGTTTCTCTACGCATGCTGGGTTTGGGGCTTTACTCTATTTTTACATTTCCCTGTTGAGCTTCTTCTTGTCCAAGGCTGGATGTTGAAGGGCTTGACATAATACAAGCGATCACTCCTGTGGCATTTGCCTTCTGACTGCCCCCTAAGGGCAGAGGGGACTCGGAGAGCAGGAGCCCCGAGCCGAGAGCTGGAAGTGACTCTGGAGACTCTGCGATGACCCCGTCTTTCTGAGAACTGTCACCTCTTCCAGAATCGGAGTGGTCCCTGCAGATTCCCTTGGCTTTCTGTGCTGCCCTCGGCCTGTATTGTCATTTACTGAAAAGGAGTTTCAAATTCGGTTTTCAGTTTTCAAAATAAAGGCGTGATCATTGTTTTTAAAAATGAACTGGTTTTCAGAACTGACGTATGTAACTGACGTGGTGAACAGCAGTCCCCCGAGACAACCACCATTCGCAGCGGGCATTAGCTTTCCCAGCCGTTTTCAGAGCACACACGAGGGCAGCGGCTCTCAACCTGTGGGTCACGGCCCCTTTGGGGGTTGAAGGACCCTTTCACGGATCGCCTAGGACCATCGGAAAACACATATTTCTGGTGGTCTTAGGAACCCAGACACGGCTCCTCTATCCGTCTCCAGGCGGGTCCGCCCACGTGCAGATGCGCCCACGTACAACGTGAGGAACCGTGCTAAAGGGTCGCGGCATCAGGAAGGTTGAGAACCGCTGCACTAGGGTGTACTACTAGTATTTTTCATTTAAAGGGATTTTTAAAATGTGTGCTTTCTTGAAAAATTTTTTTTTATCTAACTCAATTTTAGACATTCTTTCCAATTAGTACATATAGATCCACTTAATTTTTTTGATTGACTCCAATTTCTCTTCCATGAGAACCCCTTTGCCCCTCGACCTTGACTCTCTGTAGGTGTGTTCTGCTTTAAGTGTGGCTGAGCTTGCTGAAGCATCCGTTTAGCTCTTTATTTACTTTTAGAGAAATTCTGGGAACCTTGTTTGGCATCGCCTTTCCTTTGGTGAGGGATTCTTAACCTCAGCTTCAGGGGGTCTGTAGCCAAAGAAAAACCAATGTCTTATCTTGGAAAGTAGTTCACTGGAAGGGTGATGCATAGGTGTACCGGGTCTCGGGAAATCTGAAGCACCAGGGCTCAGGAAGGACAGGCTGAGGCAGCTTCAGGAATCCACTCAGCAGGGACAGGGAACAGGCGAATTGCTCCCATCCGTTCATCTGTGGTGACTTTGTTCCACTGGCTTCGCTTGGATCATGCCCCCTTGGCTGGGGCCAGGGAGGACACCTTGATTGACAGTCTCACCAAAACGTGCAGCAGGGGAGAGGTATTCCCTTAGAGACAAATGGGTGTGCGGATACTAAAAGTTGGTGGACGCCGTGTAGGAAAACCAGTCCAGGTACATTTGGAGTGTGTGTTTGCACGTGTGTGTTCCCAGGACCCAGCAAAAGTTTAAGGCACGGCTTTAGTCCGGTTGACCCCGCCTGGTTGTCTGAACTACAGGATGAGCCCCACGAATGTAAAGTGCATAGCAGACCCTCAGGGCCGCCCCGTTTCTTCTGCACGGAGCCGAGGGAAGCAGTTCCGCCTCGGTTAGTTCCCAGGAGGGTGGAGTCCATCACCTCGGGAGACAAATGTCTGTTCTTCGTTGCAGGCACCTTTTTGCTCCAGACTACACAGAAACCCATTATACTGCAAGTGGCCGCCCTCAAACCACCACGCTGAGATCTGAGGTAAGCTCTGGCCAGCAAACAGCCAGCACGCGGCTGCCCCTCTCTGTCCCGCCCCGGGAAGTGAGGACGTGGTGGGACACAGTGGAGGTGCTGCTTCCTCCGGGCCTTGGTTTCCCCTCACTGGAGACCCAGGGAGCCAGCGGGACAGGCCAAGTGCGGACCTGTCCTCCCTAAGTGCGCCCTCTCCTTTGCTGGCTGAAATGGTCAAACAAAAACTATTTTAGGAGAATTGCATCGGAAGCATAATTTTCTTTGCGTTATGTTAATTACTCACGTATTAACAGAAGTCTAAGCAAAAGGAATGATTTACAGGTGATCCTGTCATCTTACCCGGTCAGATGTCTAATTGTTCCTTTGTCATTTGGATATGGAAGGTTTTGTAGTCCGCCTTTTTAATGTGACTTTAAGTTATGACAGCGTTTTATTTTTTACTTGGCTGCTGCATCCATATTGGGTATTTTTTTTACCCCTCAAAGTCGTTCTTTTGAGTATGGAGGTTCACACAGACATTTGTCATTTACAAAATGATTTTTCATGCCTGGCCCGTGTGGCTCACTGGTTGAGCATCGACCCATGAACCAAAAGGTCGCCAGTTCGATTCCTGGTCAGGACACATGCCCAGGTTTTGGGCCTGATCCCCAGTGGGTGGCCAATGGATGTTCTTTCTCATCGACGTTTCTCTCTCTCTCCCTTTCTCTCTAAAATCAATAAAGAAAAATTATTTTTTAAAAAATGGAATTTCAGATGGATACATTTTAGTTGGCTTCATGATTGCCTGCTGGGGAACACTGAAGGTGGTGAACCATGCACATTCTATGGTTTGCTAGCTTTTCCTACCTGGGGACCCGCTTGAATCATAGGCTCAGAGCAGTGGTTCTCAGGCAGGAGGGATTTTGTTTTAAATCATTTATTTACACCTTGGCCAGTTTGGCTCAGCAGTTAGAGTGTCTGTCGGCCCACGCACCAGAGAGTCCAGGGTTCGGTTCCCACTAAGGGCATGTATTTTGGTTGTGGTTCGTCCCCAGCCCCAGTAGGGTCGTGTGGGTGACAACCAGTTGATGTGTCTCTCTCACATCGATGTTTCTCTCTCTGTCTTCCTCCCTCACTCTCTCTTGCTCTATCTGAAGATAAATACAAAAAGGTCCTCGGGTGAAGATAAAAAAAAAAAAATCATTCATTTACTTAAACTTTTGTCCATATACGGGTAACTAACATGAAGCAAAGAAAATATGATTCATGATGATTTATACCAATTTTAATCCAATGCAATTAACCTAAAATATTCTATTTGTTTGACCATTTCAGCCAGCAAAGGAGGGGGACACTAGGCAATGTCCGGAGACAGTTACATTGTCATGACTGAGAGGTGGATACCATTGGCGCCTAGAAGACAGAGCCAGGGATGCTGCCAGCCTACAATGCCCAGGACAGTTTCCACACAGAGAATTGACTGGCCCTGAATGTCTCTAGTGCCCAAGTGGAGGCACTCGGGGTTGCACTGACCTTCTCAGACCCTGGGCTGACGAGATGGGCTGAAGGAGAGGGGAAGACAGACTGTGGCAGGAGCCTTGGGGCAGGTCGCAATGGACTTAGTGGCGAGTAGAGTGGGAGGTATGGCACGAAGACAGCAGGACAGGCCCCTCTGCCTCTGTGTTCCTCCAGCAGCTTCGGGTGGAACCGCAGACCCCCCCCCCCCCATGGCCCATTCTTTAAAGTATCCCTGCCTGAGTGTGAGTCTGGGTAGGCTGTCCAGTGTGGCGTGTCCTCTCCCATGTTCTTCAATGCCCCTTGGTCAAAACTTTTTCCTTCCTCAAGATTTCTGTTCTGTGTCTCCGGGGAGAGAACAGGCATGCCCCGAAAGCCCTGGCCACGACAGCCTCACCAAGCACCTCCCTGCAGGCTGGGCTCTGCACGGGTACACCAGCCGCTCCGGAATGGGTCTCAGTGCACGAGTTGGCTGTGAGCTCATGCTTCCTGCTATGAAAGCCCCCTCGGGTGGCCCCCACAGGCAGAGAAGCTGAGAAGGAATGCAATGACTTCACGACTGTTCTTTGTGCTCTCAGAATTAGGCAGAGCACTTCCCCCATTCCCTGAATGCCCCTCCTTCCTGAAGGTCTTGTTGACCCAAGTCTGGCACAAGTCATTGTTTTCTTACATCCCCTGGTACTGGACACCAAAGCCCCCTCCCAGCCCCAGGGGGAAGACCCAAAGAGAAATTTAGCTGCATTTGACCCAAATGTTGAGGACCATACTCTACTACCAAACTTGCCCTGGGGCAGCGGGAGTTCTGGGAACCTTATCAAACTCATCATCTGCTGGCCTGTGGGCTACAGCCCCAATGTAGGTCAGATCGCTGGGGGAATGGATCTGAGAATGTGTTCCAGTAGAAAGAGTTACAGAGTTTGGGGTCTGAAGCCAGGGTTTTAGTCTTGGCTTCAGCTATTTGACCCTAAACAACCCTTTTGACTACACTAGTGTTGAGTTTCTTCTTCAGAAAATTGGACATGTTAAGATCTGACTCTCAGGGCTATGGAAGAGTAAGATGAATCACTGGTTTTATGGGAATTTATAAACATCGCTTCCAACGTCACATTTTACAGATGAGAGAATTGAGAGAAGAGAAAAAGTAACATGTTTAAGTTCAGATAACCAGCAAATGGCAAGGCTTGGACTAGAACTCAGATCTCCATTGGTGCTAGAAGATAATAGTCTTTGACAAGTGAATGGGCGTGTACTTTGCTGTCTGCTTCTCCGGGGAGGCAGAGCATGGCGTCCGAAGTCAGCTGTTCGGGTTTGAATCTCCACTTTGCTCTGTGGCCTGGGGATGACAGAACCTCTCCAAAGTTTTCTTATTCCTCACCCAAGGATATTTTTTTACGTATTCTCAGATAGAGTGGGAGGGAGGGAGAGAGAGAGAGAGAGAGAAACATCGATGTGAGAGAGAAACATCGCGCGACCCGACTAGGACTGGGGACAAACTGCAACCGAGGTACGTGCCTGTGACCGGAATCGAACCCTCGACTCATTGGTCTGCAGGCTGATGTTCTAACCACTTCAGCCAAACCGGCCAGGGCTCCAACCTTTTCTAAAAAATGGGAATAATAATATCTACCTTATCAGGCATTGGTCTGAATTTTTTTTAAATCTGTGTTAGAGGTTTATCCAGTATTAAAGGCTGGATGGATGTTAGTTATTCTTACTAACACTGAATGGCAGGTATTACTGTACATGTGACACTGCGTGTGAAAGCCCTTTGGAAATTTAAGGCATGCTGCAAAAGCCACTTGGGATGCTATTTCAGAGAGCACCCAGCCCGTGATCACTGTCAGCATCAGTCCCAACAAGGCAGGAGGCACAAGGACCCTTCACGCCCATCCCTGGATCTGAATTCTCTTCATTTGTAGAGATAACCAGGATTTTCAAAACTGACCCACATTCCTGAACTTCTTGACTCTGTCATTCCAGTATCTGTGAGCCCCATTTACCCCATACAGGCCCGTGAATGCTTGAATGCTTGACCGTGGGCCTCCAGGCCCCAGAGCCGAGGGTAGGCGGAGAAGCCATGTGACAGGCCGGCCTGAAGGCAGGTGGAATCCGGCTGGAAGGAGGGGCGTGCCCCCTCCCTTCTTTCACAGGTGCTGCAGAATGTCCCCGGCCTGGTGGCTCTCCTGTGTGCCCCACTGAAGGTCAGGATCTGACTTGTTTCAAGTTCAGAGTTTGATGCAAAAAGAGGGGCTGGTGCCTGTCCCTCCTCCTGACTGCCTGAGCGTGAAAGGGTGGAGGAGCCAGCTGGCGAAAAGGCGCCTGGGTTGAGTGCCAGCCGGGCCTCTACTGTGATCTGGCTGCATGGCTCAGCGGGGTGGGCATAGAGTTGGTACAGCTGAGGCCAAAGATTCAGCCCCTTGGCGAGCTTTTCTCTCCCTCGAGGCCATATTCTGCTTTTGACCAAGGATTACTGTGCTTGTTGCCCGAGCTCCGAAGTGCCCCGCACTAGTCCCGGAGGTACTCACAACCTTCCCTGAGGTGGAGACTGAAGATGCTGGAGGTCAGAGAGGGGTTGTGCAACTGTTTACGCAGCTGGTCAGTATGGAGCTTGCATTTAAACCTTGCCTGGACGTGCCAGAATCCCTCATCGTTAGGCAATGCTTGTCCCTAGACCTGGGCAGGGATGGAGCCAGAGAAGATAGACAGTGGATTAGCTGTGTCCTAGGTCACATTCCTGCCTGCTGGGACCAAGGAACATCTACAAACAAGTATGGTCCTGCTGAGGATCCCTTGGACCGTCTGCAGGCAAACGCCAGCGATTTCTGTTTGGCCCTGCTCAGCCTCAGCATGGTGGGGTGGGGTGGGGTGGGGGAGGGGGGAGGAAGCTCCCATGGCCGCAGCTCCGTCGTTTACATCCCTCTGAACGTCTGTTTAGGGCTCTGACATGGAGGTGTGACCTTCTCCCTCTTCTGACCAGCTGCTCTCTCTCCACCACTTGGGAAGGAGCTCGTAGGGACGTGTCCTCTGTTATCACCCCTCGCTGTCCACCCTTTGTCTGGTTTTGCACTGGAGCCCCCGCAGCAGTGTCCTGGTTTGCCTCCTGGCCGCTCCGGGTACCCTGCTTTTAAACCACTCTGCCGGCATCTCCAGCCTTGACTTCAAGCCTCTCTCTGTATGGCTCTTTAATTAACATTGGCCCTCACCAGACCGCAAGTCCCACGAAGGCTGGAGCTGTGTGTGTGTGTTCGTTGTGCCTCTGGGGCCTAGCCCAGGGCCTGGCACACAGCGGTGCTCCACAGCTGTTTATGGTCACAGAGGAGCCCAGCCGGGCTGGGAAGCCCACATGAGACACAATGACTGGAGAGCAGCCTCCAACCTCTGTGTGTCCATGGGTGTGGGTGCCAAGTTCAGTCTGAGTCAGGCATGCAGGGATTCGGGGAAGGTGCAGAAACGCTGGGGTCCCCATTTCCTAGGGCGGCTGTCACAAAGAACTATGAACTTGGAGGTTTAAAACAATAAAAGTGTATTCTCTGGAGACTAGAAGTCCAAAATCAAGGCGTCAGCAAGGCCTAGCTCCCTCTGTAGTCCAGGGAAGCCTCGTGCCTGGCCTCTTCCTAGCTTCTGATGGTCCTTGGCCATCCTTGGTGCTCCATGGCTTGTAGCTTCATTGATCTAATCTCTGCCTCTGTTATCATATGGCTTCGGGGTGTGTGTGTGTGTGATCTCTTCTTAAAAGGACAGCAGTCCAATATGATGACTTCATCTTAACTACATCTGCAAAGATCCTATTCCAAATAAGATCACCTTCTGAGGTTCTGGGTGGCCATGAATTTTGGGGGGACACTGTTCCACCTTGTAGGGGTCACAGATGACTCTAGTGGGGAGGTAGGCTTCTCAGAAGCCAGTGTTTCCTGTGGCCAACATCCTTGCATGGAAAGAGCTCCGACCTAGCTCCGAAGTCCTGGTCCTCCAGCCAGAAGGGGACCTTCGGCAAACCTCTGCTCCCTGAGCCTCAGCTTCTTCATCTGTTCAATGGGGATGATGACATCTGCTCTGTCCCACCTCCCAGGACTGTGATGAAGAGCAAATAAATCAGAGGCGCCCTGGCCAGTTTGGCTCAGCGGTTAGAGCATTGGTCCACGGACCAGAGAGTTCCAGGTTCGGTTCCCGCTAAGGGCATGAACCGCGGTTGCAGTTTGTCCCCGGCCCTGGTTGGGGTCATGTGGGTGGCAACCACTGGAGGTATCTCTCTCACATCGATGTCTCTCTCTCTCTCCTCCTCCCTCTCTCCCTCTCTTTGTATCTGAAGATACATGCAGAAATGTTCTTGGGTGAGGATAAAATAAATAAATAAAAATAAAACAGAGGCTTGGAAAGCTCCCTACAGGTTATACGCTTAGGCTAGGTGCAGAATCATCCGTGACCTTCACGCGACATTAACATTGCTGTGCTTATTATCGGTGTCTGTGTCCTGACCACCCCTTTCTCCCTGCTAGAATCACTGCTTTTACCACGGGACGGTGAGGAAGGCAGAACAGTCCAGTGTCACGCTCAGCACCTGCCGGGGAATGAGGTAAGACGCCCCGACAGTGCTGGGGACACCTGGCACTCCCCAGGAGTGGGCTTTTCAGGACAAGTGGGGCTGGCCTTGGGCAGGGACCCCGAGAAGCTGTCCATTGAGAGTGTACGCAAGCCAGTTCTGAGAAGGGCCGAGCTTGGGAGGAACTTGAGGAACTTGATGTTTTAGTGATATCCGGGTCTGGCGAAGCCGACAGAGCAGGAGGTGACTGCCGCTGGCGAGGCGGTTTGATGCGCTGGAGATCCCAAGAGGGCGGGGCCTGCGGTGCGCGGGGCAGGAGGCGCGCGGTCAATCAGGAGGTAGGGGCGGGATGTGGCAAGTCTTTATTGGGGTTTGTGCAGGAAGGAACAGGTGAAGCTTGGGGTTGGTTCGTTTCAGCAATTCCAGTGGGATCTGGGGCTCAGGGGCTGTCCCCAGTTGTCTGGTACCTGGCCTGGGGTGAACAGGGCAGGGGGACAGTGGCCCAGAGGGTGAAAGCCACATTGGAAAGGTGTGCTCACTGGTGAGTTGTTTACTGTCTCTGGGAACTGGCTAACCCTGGGGACAGATGTCAAAGCATCAGAACACAGAAAATAAAAGATGGGGTTCATGACCTGAAACTGAGGAGTTGGAGCGTTTATTCCCTCTTCTCCTTTGCTCTTCTCTGGTAGAAGCACTGGTAGGCAGTGAGAAAGGACGTGGGCAGCTAGTGAAAAGAGAGGACAGGAAGAGAAGGGAGAAGCAAGGGTAATTTCCGAGACAGAAAGTTAACTGGAAAGTTCCGACCAGGTGGCACGTGGGAAAGAGAATGACTCTTCATTCCCTGAGCTAAGCCAGTGGCGGTTAACCTGCTGAGTGACCTTGGGCCTCGATGGTCTCGTGTATCAAATGTGGACAAGAGGACTATATTCCTATATTCGTGAGCGTTGGATGTGCTCATAGATACCGAATGTGTGCACCTGGCTGTCACTTAGGAGCGCCCAGTCACCTCCTGGACCCTTGCTTCCTAGGTGTGGCCTGCAGAGGGGCAGCAGCACCCAGGAGCTTGTTCAGAACACTGTCTCTGGTCCCACCCAAACCTACTGGGTTACAGTCTACAATCTACCAAGACCCGGTGATTCCTGTGCACGTCCCTGAGGATGTCATTCCTTGACCACATAACTTATATCTCGGATATCTGTTTCTCTCTCCAGCCTACCCGAGTGCTTTGCATGTAGTATGATCTATACATGTCTGTTGAAGCCATAAATGTCATTTATTTAGACTCCGCCACACTCTTCTCCTTTTGGAAAAGAGATGATCTGAAAATCCTGTATTTTTATTGCCCATAATAATTGCCTGGGTTGTAATGTGAAACCTATACCCAGAGTGTTGATAAACTGTTTCTATGAAAAGTAAAGAAAGAAAGGGCAGAAAGGAAAAGGCCCTGATTCGCAGCATCGCCGTGTGATTCCCACCGTGAGCAGTTCAAGCTGTCAGCACGGCGTCACCGAAGGCAGAATTGGGAAGATGTGCACACGGCTGCTTCTCATGAGCCAGTACGAGTTTCTGCTGCGTGGCCTTCTTCTCTGTCACCTGATTCATTCAATAATTGTTTCTTTCATTCAGTGTGTGAGTATTGAGTGCCCACTCTGTGCCCATGCCCTACACGGGTGGAGGAAGTAGTTTTCTGAGCCCTCAGTTTCCTCATCTGTAAAATGGGCTTCGATGGCAGGCACGGTAGAGAATGTGGCTGTGTTAACTCTACAGCACCCTACAGCATACACAGTTAGTCGTGTTACACCATTTTATAACAGTGAAACCGTGCTCAGATTTCCCCAGGTCCACTGGCAAACGCAAGGCTGCAGGTCCCACGTGCTTGTTTGTAAATTGGGCCATGACTCCTCTGTAAGGCTCCGCGGTGAGTCAGCCGGAGGGAATTAGGCAGGAAACAGGCTTTGGCTGGGAGGCCATAGCAGTGGCCTCCAATCCTCCACTCAAATGACTGGGTTGAGCCAAGCCAACTGGTGGCCTCCCAGTGGTGTTTACAGGCCCAGCCACGGCCACCTGCAGTCTGCAAGTAAACAGCCGTCTTTCCCAAGAAGCAGGAAAGGGAGCATGGCAGGTGTGACTTGCATCTCTCCGCCCCTTCCTCTGTCCCCTTGGTCTGGAGTGGTGGGAACTTGGCTTGGCCTCTTGTAAACCATTCCCACGGCGCGCCGACGGGGAAACCGCGTGAGCCGGCCATGTGTTTCTGTTTTGCATGCTTCCCTCTGGTGGGGTCCACCGCCTCACTTTCCCAGCCGGCTCACTCCACACCTTAAGAAACCAAGGGTGTCTGCGGGCTCGACTGATTTAAGAGCCGGGGACTTATGCCAGATGGCTGCGCTCGGACTCTGGAGAAGGAGCAGCTCCAGCAGCTGCAGCCTCCAAGCCGTGTAACACGCAAGGCTCCGGCGCAGGCTCGTAAATCGATGTCGCAATGGAAAATCTGTTTAGCAACTGTTCTCCTGGAAGCATGCTCCTGTGATGGGAGGAAATAGGTAGGACTTATACCAGGTGGAACCTCCAGGCTGATGATACAGATTCAGAGAAGTTCAGCTGAGTTTCTAGATGGTGGGGAGGCCCCCTCTGCTCTCCAAATCAATTCTTTAAGCTATTTATTTTATTTTTATTTTTGTATCCTCACCCGAGGACATTTTTCCATTTTTGTTCAGCTGGGGGTGGGGGGAGAAACATCGATGTGAAAGGGACACATCGAGTGGCTGCCACCCGCACAACCCAACCAGGGCCGGGGACAAACTGCAAACAGCCCTTAGTGGGAACTGAACCCGGGTCTCTCTGGACTGCAGGCCGATGCTCTAACCGCTGAGCCAAACCGGCCAGGGCTCTTTAAGCTACTTTAATTGAAGAAGTAATACATGATAACAGTACAAGAGTGTACAGTGAAAGACAGGTCTCTTACCCCAAATTTACAGAATCTCCCCTCCCCACTGTTATCAGTGTCTTGTGTATCTCATTAGGAATATTCCTTGCAAAAAAACACAGCTGTGCAATAGAATGCTTCATCATCTTATTTGGGCCACTGGCCCCTTGGAGAATTGCGTGGCAGCTGTGGATACTTATGCACTACACCAGTAAAAAGATGTGGCGCACAATTCCATCAGGGATGTCAGTGTCTGTCTCCCTCAATGTCTATAGGACTTCTCCCATGCACAACTGCTTGACAAACTAACACAGTGTAGAAATGTAAAGAGCGATGATTGTTTGTGAAGAAGTCTAGACAGCGCTGGCCTGAAGTGTTCTTGATTGAACTCATGGGATGTGGAGACACTGTGCTGTGTGGGTGTATGTCCCTAGCTCGCTGTCTATCAGCAGGAGAGGTATTGATTACAGTCAAACCATTTTTAAAAATCTGATTGATCAGTTTATTTATTTTTTTTATCTTCACCCGAGGACATTTTTCCATTTTTTTGTTCAGGTAGAGTGGGAGGGAGGGAGAAAGAGAGAGAGAGAAACAGCGACGTGAAAGGGACACATCGAGTGGTTGCCACCCACACGACCCATCCAGGGCCGGGGACAAACTGCAACAGAGGTACATGCCCTTAGCGGGAACTGAACCCGGGTCTCTCCAGACCACAGGCCCACGCTCTAACTGCTGAGCCAAACCGGCCAGGGCATGGAAAATTTAATTACACAGAAAGTCTGGCAAAGACACACAGAAGATCATCTGTCGTGATCTATTTGATGTATTATTCTTTTTTTTTCCCCTCACCTGAAGATATTTTTCCATTGATTTTTCAGAAAGCATGGGAGGGAGAGAGAGAGAAAGAGAAACATCAGTGTGAGAGAGATTCATCAATTGATTGCCTCCTGCCTGACCCCAACCAGGGCCAGGGACAGAACCACAACTGAGGTATAGAACCTGCGACTCTTTGGTCCATGGGCTGATGCTCCAGCCACTGAGCCAAACGGCCAGGTGATATGCTATTCTTTTAAATGTTACTTTGATTGTTAGTAAACATTGCCTATTACTTCCATCAATTATCATAGCCACCCTGTGAGATGGGCAGCGTTGTTGAGTGACGTACCACACAGCTAGTGGACAGCAGAGCCAGAGTTCAAGTCCAGGTGTGCACCCCGCCCCGCCCTGCCCAGGCCATACTCTCCACATGTGCCACCCCAGGGGAGCAAGTCACTTGTCTGCCATCTTTCTTCCCTTCTGTGCTGCCTTTGAAGCTCCCTGAAACTCCTCACTTGGATACAAATTGGGGTTGAGGGGGGAGGAAGGAAGAGTAACAGGATGATGACCTCTTAGGACCGATGTGGATGTAGGGAGGTAGGGTATGTTCCTGTAGGTTTAGCTCTGAGTGAACAGATTCCCAGGACGCAGCCTTGCCTGGTTCCTTGAAGGGTGCGTGTGGACCAGTCCTGCAGTCATTCAGGGGTTAAACCCGAATCGCCTGCTGTCAGCCTGGCTTGCCAGGGTTCCTCTGTGCAATCTCATTCGGTTCCAGCTCTTAACAACGAGGAACAGGCTGGAGAGCGGAATGGAGAATAGCTTGTGAGGTCCCGGCCACCCAGCCTCCTGGGCCCCCTCAATGTCCCTGGAGAAGCTATGCCAGTGCTTATATTTAGCAAATTAGATCAACTGAGGCTGCTGGAAGGATAAACAACTGGTGAGTGTTCACAGGAGGGCAGCTAGCAGGACTTGGGGGTGGTGATGGGGCAGGGCCCCAGGGACTATAGTCTCAGAAATCCCCCCGACTGTCAAAGCTGGGGTTCACTGTAAAGTTCTGGGGCTTGTGCCAGCCTCTCCCCCAGCCCCAGGCAGGCTGGGAGGATTGCAACTGCAACATGGGTGAGTTACCAGGGGCCACATAGGGGGAAAATGGGAGGGCTACAGAGTCCTATTGCTGAGAGGACTCCAGTGTCCTGAGCCTGTGCTTCTCAAATTGTCATCTGCCCACTCCCTGAAACAGAATTGCCAGGGGCTTTGTGCAGAGGGGGCTCCTACTGCCCAGCCCGGGCTCCAGGCCACAGTTCCTGTGTGTGGCTGTGCAAGGCACTGTTGTGGGCTTACTAAGGGTGCTGATACCCAGGCCTGTAGAATCCAAGTCTCCTACGTCTGCATCTTTAAGGCACTCTGCAGAGTACTCTAATGTATAGCTGTAGGAGCTCTGATCCTCATGCTGTCTGACCCATAGGTGTGGAACTCACTGATGGAGACATAGCTTGGAGGATTAGGGCACCATGTCCAGAGTCTATCAGACCTTAAACCTTTGGCCCCAGGGACTCATGAGAGCTTGTTATGAAATCTCTCTGAGGCTCAGTTTCCTCATCTATAAAATGGGATACATGATAGTGCCTTAGAGCATTGATGTGGGAATGGGGTAATGATGGTGTCTTACTTCAGATAGGCCAGTTGGGTTATGGCCATTCACACCTCAGAGGAGGGTTGCTGGTGCCCGTCATCTGTAGCCATCTGTAAACTGGGGATATCTTTCTGACACACTTCTGCAGCGCTGTTGTGACAGAGACATGTGAGTGAGGTCCCGGTTAAGGTTGTGGGACCTGGAACCAGACTGCTTAGGTCCTTGCTACCTTGTGAATTTGGGTCGGTTAACAAACCTCACCGAGCCTGTTTTCTCATTTGCACAAGGGGGATAATATCTGTAAGGATCACAGAAGCCGGTGTCAATAGTAAAATACTCAGCCCAGTGCCTGTTCCACAGCAAAGTCTCAATCACTTCTACCATCGGGATGATCATTATTCACCCTGCACTAGACCCTCATGGTCTCTTCCCTATTGGCCCAGAGGTCGAGCCAAGTGCTGCCCAGTCAGCTACTGGAACTTTCCCCATTCCCTACGTGGGACTTTCCATCCACCGGGTGTTATCTCCTCAGCCACAGCCTGGTGCGCACGAAAGCGGCGGCGAGCTGGTCCGTGGTCCAGCCCTCGGTGTGTGCCAAGTTTGTAGCCATCGGGGGAAACTGAGGTGACGGGAAGCGCCGTGGTCAGCCGAGATGAGATCGTTTGGGGACAGGATGCCTGCAGCAGCTCTGCCCTGTGCCCTTTCCTGTCTGGATTCGGGAGCGGATGTGACCCTTGCTCTTCGCCCCCTTTCCACCCCTCGCTGTCCAGGGAGCACCTTGGGTGTCCCGCCAGCGAGCCGCTCCAGAGTGGCTCTGGGATTGCTGCGTCAGCCTGGGCGAGGCAGCCTGGGAGCCGTCCTGGCAGCGGGGTGAGGTCAGCCAGGCTGGATTCCAGGAAGGGCCGCTGCTGATCAGAGCCTGGCGTTGTCTCTCCTGAGAGCACGGCGGGCTCTTCCCAAAGGGCAAAACCTGGGTGGGGGTCCCAAGGAGTTTGGGGCGGGGCTGGAAATCCAGACAGCTAAAGAGAGAGGTCCTTTCGGTTTGGAGTGGCAAAGGCTGGTGTGGAGATTATTTAATTTGTGAGTTTGGGGAGCCCAGGAAATGCCCCTGGGGCCCCTGGGACTCATTACTGGGTTTCTTCCTCCCCCAGAGCCCTGGCACCTTCCCTCATACTCATCTCACTGCATCAGGAACGGCAAACACCTGCCCGTGGGCCTCTCCTCACCCTTCCATTGGTTATTTTTATTTTTTTAATCCTCACCCAAGGGTATGTTTATCGATTTTAAAGAAAGAGAGAAAGAGAGAGAAACATCAGTTGGTTACCTCTTGCATGCACCCCAACCAGGGTTCAAACCTGCAACCTGGGTATATTCCCTGACTGGGAATCGAACTGGCGACATTTTGGTTTACAGGACGGTGCTCCAACCAGCTGAGCTACACCGGCCAGGACTACTCACCCTTCTATTGATTATTTGCAGTCGTGATCGATAATAAGTCATAGCACTCTTTCTCACTCTTTCTCACCTCACGGATGCAACCCTTCAGGCAGCTGCGTCCAATCCATCGGTGTTGGGTGATGAAACCGTTTTGTTGTCTCTGTTATACACTGTAGCGATTTATTCCCGTGTTCAGATTCCAAGCTCCAGTAGGGCAGGCAGGTTGCCTTGTTCACTGCTCCATCTCCAGCAAGTAGCACAGTGCCTGGCTCACAGCAGGAGCTTGGGAAATACTTGTGGAATGAATGAGTGTCTGTCCCCCAGTGGGCTGGAATTATTTGAGGACATGGATTATGTCTAGATTACATCTAGTACAGAGTAAGGGCCCGTGAGCGAAAGAACATCATGAACAAACATGTCTTTGTTCTGTGTTCAACTCTAGTGTCCATAACCGAGAGGAAGAGTGGTCACACATGCTTGGCTATGGATGTCACCCTACCAGAGGGTGTCACCTGCCATCGGCCGTGCTGGCACGGGGAAGTTGGGGCTGGCAGGAATGCCATTGATGATGCTTCCGGCTTTGGTTTCCAGGGACAAAGATGCTTGTCATCCTGTTGCATCATCCCAAGAGTCCTCATGCATTAGTAAATTATCATTTGCATTTCCACACGGGGAAACTGAGGTTCAGAATGATGTGAGAAGTTTATTGAAGAGCACTGGGCAATTTCATGTTGGAGCTCAGACCAGGACTTGGATCGGGGTCCTTCGTCTGGTCAGCACCCCGTCTTTTTCTGAGGCCATAACTGACCGTCCTGTGATTTGTCGTATGCCAGGTTTAGGTTTTGGACGCATTTTGGAATCCTCGTCCTCCTGTCATTTGTGAGTGTTAACTGTCCCTGGTCCAGCCTTTTTAGAACCTTTTGAGCTTCTTTGAGATAAGCTTTTAAACCCTGAAATTGTGTTCAAATTCACATACATGTGCATTCTCCGGAGAGGAAGCCTAGCTCGCCTCAGCTTCTCACCAAAGGGTGCGTGACCCTATGATAAGGTTAAGAACCAGGGATCAGAGCCAGCTGTGTCTCTTTGTGTGTGGGGAAACTAAGTCCCGAGCAAGGGACTTCTCCAGGGCCCTGATCTTTAACCAGAGATTGTCCTTATGCCGTTGACAGAGGCCTGATTGTGGTGAGCAGTAACCTCAGCTACATCATCGAGCCCCTCCCCAGCAGTGCGGGCCTCCACCTTATCTACAGATCTGAACATCTCAAGCTACCTCCCGGGAACTGTGGGTTCGAGCACTCTAGAACTGCCAGCAGGGACTGGGGCCTTCAGTTTACAAAACAGGTCAAGCAACGACCTCGCAGGGTGAGTTCTCCGCACAGGCGTCAACCTCGGGACAGGAAAGTGAGGACTCTTACTTTGGATCCAGGAGTGATTCTGAATTAAAGCGAGATGCCTAAGGAGGAAGTAGCTTTTCCTTTTATTCTAAGTCATTGTTGAGTGTGGCATACCCTTGCACTTGATAGAACAGTGCTTTGGGGAAAACACCTACTACATTTAAAATACTCTGAGATGCTAATTTCAAAATGTGAGAAAAAAACAAACCCAAACAACCCTACACTTCCCTTTTTGGAATAACCCCTTAACCATATGACCAAAATGCTTGTGTTTGTTTACCCCGACACTAGGGGTGTGTGGTGTAAATGGTTTTGGGGAACCTGATGTCAGCATGTTCCCACCCAGTATGTCGGCCTGTTCTTCCTGTTCTAGGCAGGCCACCCCGCTTATTGTTCTCTGAGACTAGAGGACAGGACCCAGGGTCCCAGAGCAGCAGCCGGCAGTGACCAAGGTGGCAGGTGGGGGGCGCCGTGAGGGTGGTGGTGACCACGGCCGGAACTGGCCCTGGTGCCCAAGCACAAAATTAAACCAGCATCACAGCTTGGCCGTTTTCTGACATGAGGCCAAGTCCACCATTCCCACAGCTCTGACCTGCTTGTGTCTCCTTCTTAGATGAAAAGGGAAGATTTAAACTCCATGAAGTACGTGGAGGTTTACCTCGTGGCTGATTATGCGGAGGTAAGGGGGAGGCGGTGGCTTCGAGCAGCACTGCTCTCTCGGGAGTTCTGCCTCACGCTCCCAGCTGCCCCGGAGGAATGGATGCTAAAGCCGCCCTTTTTCTGCGTTTTGTCATATGACTCTGACCTTCAGTCTGACTGAGGGCTCCTTTTGCAATTTTAAACATAGTTGGGGGGAAAAGAATTCAAGGAAAAGTCTCTTCCAGCCTGATACAGTAATCAGATAAAAAATCAGTACAATTTGCATGATTTGGACGAACATTTCTTAGATGGGGTCTGAAGACCTTTAGGTATCGGTGTTTATTCTTGGGGAGTCTATGAAGTCTCTGTAGACATTAAGAAAACACTTTTTTTTTTTTTGGCACAGATAATACATGAATCACCTGACTTACAATTTTCTTGCACGTGTATGGGTCCATTTTATAGTCAGGTTGGTGTTCAATCCAAACCCGAAGCTGTGGTTTCCCAAACACTGGTTCTGGACCAGTGTTATCAGTAGCACTCGGACCTTATGAAAATGCAAATTCTTGGGCGGTACCCTAGAACTGCTGAATCCCAAGGCCACGCTACCTAGTTCACAGTGGGGGTGGTGGAGAGAACACTAGACTTCGGGGTGGGGGGGTCTGCCTTCGTGTGTGAGTGGCGGGAGGAGGTGGCCTCGAGCTGTCTTAGAGGACAGGAGTTGTTAACTGGGCAGGGAGCTGGAGGCAAGGGCATGCCAGGTCCAGGGGCATCACGTTCTGCTCTGCGAAGAGGTTTGCTTTCTAACTGATGTCGGCACTGCTTTTTCAGCAGCCTTTCCCCCCTTTTGTCTTCCTTTCCAAAGACTGGTGTGTGTAGGATGGGGGAGCAGTGTTGGGAGCAAAGTTTAAAGCAGATTCATGGGGGGAGGTAACCCTCGATGGCCCCTGGCAGGAGGGTTTCTGGAAGGAAGCTGAGCTCTTCTGATTCTATTTTAACTTTGCGTCAAAGATCATCTAATACAGTGTTCTTGGGCCGTTTGTTTTTTCAGCACAGAATTTTTTGCTCAGATGGAAGCTCCTGGGACCCCAGTAGCTAAGCATGTAGAAGCACAGCCACTCTATGTAAAGTGGGGTGACCCTCCCCTTCAGCCCTGCGCTCTCCCCAGTGGAGTCTTGGTGCAGGGCCTTAAACACCCACTGGGTGCGAGTCTCTGGAAGCTGGAGAAGCGGGGTGGGGAAGGGATTGGGCGTCTTTAGTCTCCTGACCTCCAGGGTCACAGAAAACCCCCACGAGGACAACTGGCTGCTCAGGTGCCTCAGACCACGGACCACGGTCTTGCCTCTGCCTCTTGTCTCTGCCTCGAGCTATCATCCTGCTTCAGAGGGGGACTCATGCTGCCTGGAGACAGGGAACTTGCTTATTCCTCAGGGTCCTCGGCTTTGAATGAGTCATGGTGGCTGGACTGAGGGATACAGTAGGCCAGGCTGGTTCTCAGGCTCACGGGTCCCTCCCCCTCCCCCCTCTCCCCCACCCCCTCTTCCAGCAGCCTCTCCTCTGCAGGCAGAGATGTATCCCTGCCAGTTAATTAATCTGAAAGGATGGGAAGACAGGGAGTGGGAGGCTGCCTTATCTGTGATTTACAGCCGGCGCTTACACAGGCCCGGCTCCTCCCCTGGCTCTGCAAGGGAGCGGACAGGGATGGCGGTGCTGCCCGGAGAGTGCACTGTCAGCAGTAAACACCACCCAGCAGGGCTCACCCCCGGCCTGGGCCTGGGTGGGTCTCCGCCTATTTCCTCAGGTGTAATGGGAAATCCAGGAGACGGAAGAGCAAGTTGGGGTGTGATAGGGGACAGGACAGCTGTGAAAACAGGAACGCAGAGACCTTTCATGATGCAGACAGAATGTGAGAGAGTTGGGAAAAGCCGGGTGATAACACCCTATCTTCCTTCCTCCATCACCCTAGAAAGCATGAGGTTGAGACGGGCTTTTCTGCAAGCTCTAGCCCGTGGTCAAATCCAGCCCACCACGCTTTTGTAAACAGACTTTCACTGGAGCACGTCCTGTCCGGTACTGTCCGCATGCACCGTCCGCCGCTGCTTTTGAGCTGTGGCGGCGGAGCTGAGTAGTTGTGACAGAGACAGTATGGCTGCAAAGCCTAAAACAGTTACATTGTGTCCATTCAAGGAGTTTGCCGAGACTCTTCTTCCTTAAACCGTGGTGATTTCAGGCAGTTGCTCGAAGATAGGAGTACTGCATTTGAAAGGCAATGAAATATGACTCTGATTATAGAATAAATATTCACTTTCTGAGCAGTGAGGCCAGTTTAGAAACGGGAGGACTCTGTAATGAGAAACTTCAGGATTAACACCTTCGAAAGGTTTAAGTTACAATGCCTGACACTGAATGTAACTCTTAGAAAGCAGCGGGGAAAGTGAGGTGATTGACAGTTCTGATGAGTGACAGTTCCAGGGAAAGTCCAGATGCAGTGGAAGAATAGAAGGGATGGTTTTCTCTCCTGTATCATGGCAGAGACACACCCCGTCACAACCAATATCCCAGGCAGTTTTACTTGGCCGTTCTTTTTGTTTGGATATTCTTGCTGGATGGGGTGGAGGAGGGGCGTGAAGGTTTGAAATGGAAGTAACATATATAGTTGCGTAGATCAGATAGGTGCCCAGATTCTACGTAACAATGACAGTGGACAGGACATACCCATCACCTACAAATTTAGGTCAACTGTAGCAGATTTTCTCTTTGCACAGTGAAGCGTTCCTTCATCCTTGCAGCTGACAGAGGTCTATCCTTTTGAAGCAGGAAGGGTAAATGTGAGACCACAGACTGAAATGTCCTCTCCCTGGTACCCCTGGCAGACATTTCGAATCGGGCACAGCGCTTTCCTGCCGAGCCCCACGCAGCTTCAGAATTCTGAGTGGCGTGCCAGACAAAGCCGAGGTCTTGTGATCCTCGATAGCAGTACCCATTTTGTATCATTCCTGTGGCTTCCTACAGCAGTTATTCCTGTCCGTGTTTTCTCAGTCCATTTTCATTATATACTCCTTAAATACAGAATCTGCCATTGCTATTTCCGGCCCTCTCTCTGTTTTAGTTGAAGCTCTTCTAGGCTGATACCGGGCATTCAGCAGCAGTTTGACCACTGCTGATTGATCACATGTAGGGAGACCTGTTAAAGTCCCTGTGATGGTGGCTTCATGTTGGGGTGCTGACCGAGGCAGGGATCGGATGGGTCCCTCGTCTAAGGCCCAATGGGAGTTTGTGGGAAGCCTAATCTGGAGGACAGGAGAACAAGGTTGACTTCAAGGGCTGGAGAAAGCTAATTCGATTCACTGCACAACTCCCTGCCTGCTCTGCTCGGCACCGAGCTGGCTGTTGGGGACACCAGGGTTGATGTGACCCCGGCTCTGCTTTCCCTGAGCTGACACTGTGTGTGTGCGCCTGGGTAGATAACGGTATAAAAATAGCTGCTCATAGAAGATAGAAGAAAGTAAAAACCAATTGGAAGACAGTCACGGACACGGTAGGGGTCCTGAGAGAGTTCCTGGGGTCTCACCTAGTTCTGCTTGCCCCATTTAGTTTCAGAAGAATGGACGAGACCCGGATGCCACCAAACACAAGCTCATGGAGATCGCCAATTATGTTGATAAGGTGAGACCAGGTGTGTACTTTGTGGGAAAGGTGCCAGCACCTCAGAGGACAGATGACATGGCACCTGAGCTGACATGTGAGGGCCTGGCCGTGTCTGAGAGGGAAGAGCAGTGCCACAGAGGCTCGGGTGATCGTCACCAAGCTCAACTATGTGACCTTAGCCAAGTGACTCCTTTTCTTTGGCTTGATTTTTTTTTTTTTTTTTGTATTGTTTCAATTTACAAAATAGAGGGGTTGGTCCAAACCGATGGCATTGGATTGTTTTTATTTTTCTGGTGGAATCCGTTTTTAAAATGAATTTATGCCACTGTCCATGCAGAGTAAGCCCTGACATTGTTTATATTTTTCTTTTTGTAATGCAAGTGCCTGGCCTAAGCTTTGCTGGCCAGGCCTTCATTACAGAGAGGCACCCACTTCAAAGTGGGCCGTCTTTGCCAGCGCGGGACTAGGCAAAGAGCCGCCGCCTCTCTCCACGGAGGCGCCTGTGTTTCCGAGATCTCGGTTGATTTCAGTAAGTGACCATTTGGGCTACATGGTATTTTTTTTTCTTTCTTTTCCTGTGCTTTAAATTCCCACTCTATGTTTTAAATTCACCAATAAAGAGAGTACTCAAAAACCTGGGTCCTCACCCTTCACCCCAATAAAAGCAGAACCCAGGCCCATTCTCTCTCTCCTCCCCCTCCCCTGTCCCCAGCCCCACCTCGCTGTGTGGCCCCAGGTGTGCTGTGTAATTTCTGTGTCTGGTAAGTAAGAAACCTGTATCTTTTCAGTTTCCTAATGGTTGTTGCTGAAGGGAATCTTGCCATCATAATAAGAACCACAGGAGTGGTCCAGCTACATATATAACACTGGTAATTAATAGGCTGAGACCAGTACAAAACAATCTGATATAAAAGCCAGATGAGACAGACCGCTCTAAGCCAAGGCAGGAGTGAGGACTCAGCATTGTCCTCTGACCCCTTCCCTTCATCCCTGCAGTGGCTCCAGGGAGCTGAGGACATAGAGGGGCTCAGCGTAAGGACGCTTGAAGGTTCTTTAAGTTCCTTTCTGGTACAAGGCCCAGGAGCTCTCTGACTTAGGAGAGAATGGAGGTAGGTCAGGAAGGGACAAGGACAGAATCTTAAAAGTTAGGGAGTGGGTGGTTTTGGCACCATCGCTGACCTGTTTCTGAAGTTACTTCCTGTCTCAGAAAGACCATGCAGATGGTTAACTTTCCTAGGGCAGGCTCTTTAAACACGCTCTTAGGAAGCCAAATTCTTGAATTTTGCTAGAACAGGGCTACTGGGACGTGGAAATACTGTGTTTTAAAATATTTTTTTTGTATTCGTTATAGTGCAAAATGCAGCAGAACAGGCAGTCTAGCCTCGTGTAGTTTTGAAGTGCAGATTTTCATGTTTGGGGTCACAGTTCTCTGAGACTCTAATAACATTTGTTGTTCCATTTCAGGCCACTCCCATATCTTCTGAAGCTCTAACTCTGGGCCTGTTAGGGACGCGGGGATCCCAGGTCAAAGGGAGAAATCATTTTTTACCTAAACACTGGAATATAAAGAAGAGAACTTAAATATTTTCTAGGGATTTACAAGCCAATTTGGCAGTTTTCTGACCTCATCAGGTGGGAAAGTCTATGCCGTATGTTTTTGTTCTGCCTGAGATGGCTCTGGAAATTCAGTCAGTGGTCAAGGGTGAAAGTCAGACGCTGGCATTTCCTGGAAGGAAGGACTCCAGGGACACAGTCCAGTCATCTCTAGGCCTCAGCTCACTCAACAATAACATCTGAATGATCCTACAACCCAAACACTCCACATCTGGGGAAACACTGAGCTTGTTTCCCCGGGAGGGGAGACAGGAGGCAGACTCTGTTATCACCCAGCGGCATCTATTGTTCTATCGGCCGGCAGGTGGGAGACTTGGCTGGGTCTCCCCTTTGAGAACTGTCCAGCTGGCCTGGGTGACAGAACCGAGGGTGCTGATGAAGAGTGGAAGGTGAAGAGAGCGTGAGCAAAGCGCAGTCCGTCCTCGAAGCCCAGCCTGGCTCGCTGGGCCGCTCTGGAGCATCCCTGGTTCTCTCCTCAGCAGCTGACGCTCGTCATTCCTTGCTGGAAGGCTGACCCACTTTCCCAGGCTTGCTGACCCAGCTACTTGAACTGAACTGTTGTTGAACTAAAACCTGGAATGAACTGCACTCATTTGCTGAATCATGAACCCCATCCCAAATGTTTTTCCTTAACTGTGAAAAAAAGCCACGTTTGAGTCCTTAAAAAGCTTCCCCTAGCGAAGCAAGTTCAGATTAGAATCCAGACTTCTATTTTCTGTAATGATTGACCTGGCACGAAACAGGAACAATCAAAATTTCCATTGAGATCAACTGATGTTTTGCTAAATCTGGGGCCCATCTTCTCCCCCAGTTTCTTGGAGGCAAGTGGTTCGGATGGATGTGGATGTGTCCACACTGAAGCAGTGGGGGGCCTTGCATAGGCTCTGAGACCTGATCGTTTTTGGCTGTGACTCTGGCTCCACCCTTTTCCTGCTGAGACTTTGGGCAAAGGACTTAACTCTCAGCCTCAGAGCTTAGTACAAGGAAAGTGCTCCAATTGTTATTTTTAGTTCCAGCAGTACCTGCCCAAGGTCATTCAAAGTTGGATTAAATGGTATCTCCTTGCTTATGTGACCTAGATTGACATGCAACTTTTGTTTTTAAGTCACTGCCTCAGTAGGGTCTAGGGTATGCCAGTCAAAGAATTTCTTACTCTCATGCCTTCTAATAGTTAGCTTTAAAGAAAGCTCTCATTCTGTTATATGTATATGGCATGAAAGATACAGTATATCATAAAAGTTAGATATGTTACAGCCTGAAGGATCCCGAGAGTCAGGTCTCATTTATAGAATTTCCAAATCTTTGGGTTGGACAGAAAACCCTGATGATTAGTTGGGGCCCTCGCAGTCTAATGCCTGTAGCCTGTTTACAGTATCCTTGACGAAACACCTCCAGTGATGGTGAAGGAAACTTTTGAAAGGAAGCATATCTATCATTTACACACAGGTACTTCCAAAATGAGTGGAGAAATCTTACAGCAAAATATCCATATACACTTGGGTATATCCGCACAGTGGGATACTATTTAACCACCTGGGATTTATAAGCTCCTCCCTAGCTCTGACAGATGAAGATGATGCTGTGGCTTTTCTCTTTCACTGATCAGTTTTACCGATCCTTCAACATCCGGATTGCTCTCGTGGGCTTGGAAGTGTGGACTCACGGGGATATGTGTGAAGTTACAGAGAACCCGTACTCTACCCTCTGGTCATTTCTTCGTTGGAGGCGCAAGCTGCTGCGTCAGAAGAAGCATGACAATGCACAGTTAATCACGTAAATAGCCTTTTTCCGTATGCGTTGGCTTGGCTGTAGGGCCCCTGCCCACAGTGTGCGTGCTGTCTGCCCCTCATTCCTGATGCCGAGTGTTGGCTACACCAGGCCACCCTGACTCTGGTCCAGACATGTGCTCTGCACCTGGCACGTGCTGGGAAATATTAAAAAGCCTAAGAGTCATAACAATCCCAAGAAGTATTTGCAATCTAGAGGGGAAAATTAGACCTACACATACTCAGCTGAGCGTCTGAAACACTTGGGTGTGTTTTGGGTCACAGGCAGCTTTGAAACAGACTTTCTGACGGGCTCATCTTCATCCCATTGCTTTGTTCTAGTCCAGAGTTAATCTCCCGAAGCAGGCCTGTTGGGGGGGGGGGGTCCCTGGGTTGTCCTTCACTGTGGTCACGGCCCTAGAGAGTCAAAGTAGCAGGTCGAGTAGGAACTGTACTTGGTGGGAGGGGGATGTTGAGGGGGATGAGGGTTTTGTTGGAGTTTCTTCCATCACAGAGACAACAAGAGAAGACACTGATGGGAGGCATGTGACAGTCCCCTGGGAGTGATTATCTGGTGTTTATTGTGTTGACTTTTAAAGGTATTCTGAGGCAGTTCAAACAGAAGGCGCTTATATAATAAAACCATTGTTTGTCGGTTGCCTAAATACCTTTCTGATTCCACAATCATGTAAACCTTTGTTTACTCTTTCTAAAAGGCCTGGCCCATCCCATTGGTTGTAAAATATAATTCTCCAGTGTCCTTGCTAAGTGGTTTGTCACTTCCGTTTTGGTTTCCTTTTTAAGTCATGAACTGTTTAAAAGTTATTATAAGTTATTTAGAAAATTTTAAACAAGAGCTTATTTAAAATTTCTTTCTTTCTTTTTTTTTTTTTAATTTTAAAAATAATTACCCCCCCTTCCCCAGGAAATAGCTGTACCAAAAGCCTGGGCAATGAGTACATTCACCTAGGAAGAGTCTGGTTACCAGGACTTTGGGCTTGAACTTGGAAGCCTGGTATCCTGCTTTGGGCAAGACCTTGAATCTAGGTTTCCAGTTGGACATCCTCAGAGCCACTGTCTAATTTTCCAAAATAACCAGTAGGACCTCATGTGTATTTGCACATATTTTGCATATTCCTTTGCATATTGTTTCTCTGAAGAAGAGTTTGCCTGGATTTCATCAGACATTTATTAAGCACCCACTATGTTTCAGAGTCCATGCTAAGTGCTAGTGATCCCAAAAGAAGTCAGAGGGTCTCAGCTGTCAAAGACAGCAGGGCCTAGATAAGAAGACAGCAGGGAGATACAGAGGCAACACACGATGAGTTTCCGCGTAGATCCTTTAAACGAATGACATGTTTGTGGCATGCATGGAAACACCGGGTTTTAGTAATTTCTTGGCCCCTGCCCTGGATTTATACAGCTGAGAGGGGCCTGGATGAACCGGGGGAATGGAGCTTGGCTGTTGGCAGATTAGGGTCACAATTGCAAAACAAAAGCAGAAACAGGTCATTCTTGCACCCAGCTGCACTTCGTGAGACACATCTGTTTCCTTGGCCCCCGAGTGCTGTAGGGATGAAGCATCGGCCCCTGACAGCTGCTGCCCTGAATTGCCCCCACCCATCCCCCATGCACACACCCCAGAGCGAGGGATGCAGCATGGGACCCGGCAGCTGGCAGAAGTGGGCATGATTCACTTCAGCATCAGTCCCTGTGCCATTCTCCCCCACCCCTCCCTCTGGCCTTTTCCTGTGAAGCAGGAATGGGATGCAGCTTTGCAAGCCCCGCCCTTTTCCTTCCAGGGGCCGGGGCCGTGGGCATATTGTGGGACAGTGACCTTTCACTCTGTTTTTCTAGAGCAGTGAGAGAGTAGGTGAGAGGAAGCCAGAGGTGTGGCAACCGGAGAACCGTACAGTTGGCCTGTAATAGCAGGACCTCTCCCTTGGGAATGATCTGCGAGTGTCAGAGGGGCCAAGGGACACCATGATGGCCACCTGCTCCTGGGCTCTGTCAGTCCCCTCCCTAGTCACCTTCTCTCCTTCCCTTCTGCAGGGGCGTGTCCTTCCATGGCATCACCATCGGCCTGGCCCCCCTCATGGCCATGTGCTCCGTGTACCAGTCTGGAGGAGTCAACATGGTGAGTCTCAGCTGAGACGCTGATGTTGCAGACGGCGGGGAACTGCCTCACGACACAGCAGGCTGATTCATCAAAAATAACTTGATACTCATTATTGCAGAAAAACAAAAAGCTTTGACACCACAAAGAGCAGTTGTTTAAAATGAAGTCAGTAAGTGATAAAGGATGGAGGCACCCAGGGGTGAATTGCTTGTAGTTTATCCCCAATTTTCAAGCTGGGAAAATCCGAAGTAGTCACATTAATACATCACTAGGTCTTTCATATATTCCAAACCAGGGGAATAGTAAGATAAGAGATGAATTTTTGTTTTTATTCGCGGTTTTATGTTATGTATGTCATTATGAAACAAGAGCCTGTTTGGAAGTCATAGGAAATTACTGCCTTCTGAAATCCTCCCTTTGCCACTGCTTACTAAATGACTTTGTTCTTTTCTGACCTGTGAAATCGATGTCAAGCAGCCTGCTGTCACCTGTTTGTCCATCCATCCAGTCCGTTGTATCGGCAGGTGCCGCATGTAGTTAAAAACACGGGTTTTTATCCAGCCGCGAGGCTTGGCCAAAGAAAAGGCAGGGTTGGGTTGGGGACAGCCGTCTTCTTGACCTGAACTCTCTCCCTGTGCAGGACCACTCTGAGAATTCCATCGGCGTGGCTGCCACCATGGCCCACGAGATGGGCCACAACTTTGGCATGAGCCACGATTCTGCAGATTGTTGCCCAGCCAGTGCGGCTGACGGTGGGTGCATCATGGCAGCCGCCACCGGGTGAGTGGAGCAGAAAGGGGACGACGGGGCAGAGGGCCGAGCACGCAAGGCCATGCGACCCCGTGCCCCTCCGAGCTGGCCCCGGGGACCCTCTGTTAGACCTTGGGGAGAAGTGACCTTTTGATAACAGAAATGGGAAGAGGACAGAGAAAGCGAACACGTGCAAGGAGCACTCGGTTTCCAGCAGGCGGCTTGGTGCTGCTGAAACCCTAGATAGACCGAATTTCTGTCTTAGGTCTTCGGCTGCAAAATTAGCCTGACCACGTGTCTTTTTCTCTTCACGAGTTTTTTATGAGGATCCATGTTGATAACAGTCCCAGTTCTTAGTCCCTGCACTCCAAGGGGGTTGGACAAGTGCGGTTACTTCCCAGGCTTGATGGAAGGCGCTGCTGTAGCCTCCGATCAAGGGGAAGAAAGAGGAGCGTCCGTGCACCCCACGGCGACCCCTCCGGGAATTCACAGGCCGCGTTTACCACGAGGAACAGGGACCAGGCAGCTGCTTCTGCCCGTAGTGGTGAGGGTTTTTTAAACCAGAGCCCTTAAGAGAATTCTGGAGTTTATTCAGAGGACTTTTAGTGTCTGGATTCACTCAGCAGAGAGCATTGGGTTCTCCCAGGACCTGAGTCACCCCTCGGAAGGCATCACGGTGGGACCTCGTGCTTATGCTCCTTAAAGAAACGGTGTGTCAGTGTCTCCAGGAGGAAATGCAGCTTCCTGGGAGCCCCAGTGGCCAGTGTCTTTCCCATCCCTTCTCAGCTGTGACACCCAGAAGAGGATGTCGACATGCAGGCTGTAGCTCCAAGGGTCATGCTCCTGCCCCGTGAGCTCCTGGTTAGGCCCACCTCTCTCTTTCCCGATCTAAACAGCATATTTGTAGACGAACAGCGCAGAGTAAGATGAATCACGACTCCAATTTGGTTTTAAGCGTCTTATACATTTTAGTGGTTTAACACTTAGTAACAAATCCCTTGTGATCTACCTGATAAGAAACCCTCTAGTGTTTAACTTTTAGTTGGTTTAGAGAATTGGGGTCAGGATGATTTTTCATGTATAGATCCAAATGGTAGTACTGACCTGCTACCAGGGAATGTGTGACGTTTAATTCTTTTTCCCAACAGTGGGACCCGGGACCTTTCATACCTGTGTGGTAAAGACTGTGCATTTGTGAGTTGGCTGGTTGAATTTGGAGCAGGGCCTGTGTCCTTAGTACAGGGATCAGATCACTGGCCCAACAAAAAAATTAAATCCATGATCATGGCCCTTTTTGTCCTGGTCCCCCCCAAATCTGTAATATCAGCTTCAGGAAGAGTTTGGGTTAGCTGGTATTTTATTCAGCTCAAAGTCTCAAGACATCTATTGTAACCTTCATAACCTTTTATGTATTGCAACCCCTTCATGCATTAGGCAGAAATTGCTGCTTCTGATACTCAGATACTTCCTCTGTGCAGAAGGAGGGAACAACGTTATGGGGTGGTTAATATTTCTTAATTCTTAGAAAGAATTACAAGTTAATATATCGGTTTTGTTCCAAGGGGGCAGAAGGTATGTGTAGGGGATGACCGGGGGTCTGGGTTCATCTGGGTGCAGTTAGCTCTTCTCGCTGCTGGGTGCTCAGACTCCCAACTAACTCCCACCTTATTCTCTTGTAGGCATCCTTTCCCCAAAGTGTTCAACGGGTGCAACAGGAGGGAACTGGACAGGTATTTGCAGTCCGGCGGCGGAATGTGTCTCTCAAACATGCCAGACACCAGGACGCTGTACGGAGGCCAGAGATGTGGAAATGGGTACCTGGAAGATGGGGAAGAGTGTGACTGTGGGGAGGAGGAGGTAAGGTGTCAAGGTGGGACTAAGGTCAAAGAGAATGCGATTGAAAAACCTCTTAGTCGTGTGCTTTTCCTGTAATATCACAAACAATACCTGGAGAGTAAGCCTTAACCCTGGACCATTTCTGAAGACTCTCCCCAGTTTGAGCTTGACACTGTTTGCGTCCAAGTCGGGGTGGAGTTCTTCCTGTGAGCGTCCGATCTGGCCAGAAACCACAGTCGGCACCAGTGGAATGACAGATGGCTTTCTTGGCCTTCCCGCTGCCCCGAGTTTGTTCTGGAGGCCATGCGGCCGGATATATGAACTTGAATCTGGGCCTTATGAGGATGCTTAAAATAATAAGCTCACGCTGTTTAGCGTGGAGAAGAGATGATTGAAAGAGGAAGTCGAGAACACGGTCAACCCTGAAAAGGGCTGCTAAGAGGAAGGAGGCGCAAGCTGTTCTGATCTTCAGAACGATTGTGGTGGGCACATAGCAGAGCGGTGCCACTTGTAACGGATGCCAGTTGCTCTGCAAAAAGCGGAACCGGGTAGTTTCATCTCTGTTTAAGGATGAAAACATGTACCTGAACATATGAAAACAATTTGGGGGAGAATTCACGAGTACCAGTTAGCTATGGGGGTGAGATCTAGGGTCTGTATATGTGGGAAAGACTATTTGATGTTATAACCTCTATGGTTTCATTTGATTTTTTTTTTCAATGTCAGCACGTAACTTTTATAATAAAACAAGACCCAGTTAAAGGCTCTGCCACCCCCGCTACCATGAGTTCAGAACGATTGGCCCAGACCCTTCAGAAAGGAGGGTGTTGTATTATTACAGGGCCCCCCATGGGGTGGAGGAGCAGCCTTTGAGAGGGGTCAGCTGGTTGGCTTATATTTGGAGCAGCTGCTGATTCTACAGATATTTACTGAGTGTGGGGTGCTATGTTGGGTGCTAGGACTCGGGTAAATAAGCAAAATAGATGTGGTCCCTGTCCTTGTGGAGCATAGAGTATAATGGGGGGGCGCACATTGACTAGATAGGTGCAAAAGTATATAAACACAATTCATGGTAAATGCTAGGAGTATATGTTGTATACGGGGAGAGCTAGGGGCACAGGAAGGGAATGCACATTTCGGCTCGGGAGGAACTGTGCCTCCAGGTGGGAAGAGACATGATGCGTTAGAAGGAAGGAACACGGGACTGCCTGGAGCCCAGGATGGTGAGAGATGAACGGAAGGGAAGTGTTCTTATTCCTTCTCTTAGGGAAGATGGGTGGGTGGGTATCTCTAGTCACGCAGTGGCATGTGTCTCTCCGATATGCTAGACCTGGACAGTTATGGTTGTGATATGGTTAAGAAGCAGGAGGTGGGTCCCAGGCAGACATGGCCTGAATTCTGCTCCGACACTTGCCAGGTGTGTGCCTCAAACGGCCATCGGACTTGTCCGAGCCACAGTCTCCCCGTCTGTGAAACGGAATAACCTTGCCTCGCAGGCTGTGATGGTCCTGCGTATGGAGAGTGACACATCGTCAAGACATGTTTGTGGCTAGGCCTGGGACTGTACTTGGAGTGTTAGAAGGCACTGGCCATCTTGTCATCCTTTTAAATCTCCTGCTGCCTGTCAGCAAATCGGGACCAGTAGGGCCAGAAGGGAGAGAGGAGAACATGGAAGCTTAGAGACCGTCCGGCCTGGAAGGCCCAGGCTGGGCGGGTTGAGGAGGAGCAGCAGGTGCTGAGCGATCTGAAGAAGCAGGCCAGGGGCTGACAGACTGCGTTCAAGGTTGCTGCGGATGCCTTGCTCCCGATGGCCTCTGTCTGTGGGGCAGTAAGGCCGGGGTGGGGGGCGGGGGAGGGGGGCAGCGCAGAAGACAGAGCCTCGGGGTCTTCTATTGGGGACGATAAAAACAAAGCACAGAATTTTCATATAGTGCGATGCTGTCCTGAAAATCATGTTTTGGAAGAATACGTGATTATAAGATGTGTGCATGTTATGTTAGAAAGCAGCTTGGATACTACAATATTGGAAAATCAGTGTATATCTCTATATGTGTAAAGGAAAATTCCTGGAAAGATATCCACAGTCAGAATGGAGTTGGGTCTTAGTTATGTTGTTACTGATGATTGTGTGCATATATAAATATATATATATTTTTTTCCTACAATAAATACACATTACCTTAGCGATTAAGCTATAAAGTGACTTTTTGGCAAAGGCCTCCTGGGTAGCTGGGCTCCATGACCTGTGGGGCAGGCTGGGGAGCTGGGAGAGGCAGGATGGCCCTGAGCCGCCCAGATTCCTGTCTCCCCGTCCTGCTGCCCCAGAGGCTCACGCCCTCTCCCACTGCCTCCCCAGGAATGTGACAACCCCTGCTGCAATGCCTCTAACTGCACCCTGAGAGAGGGCGCGGAGTGTGCCCACGGCTCCTGCTGTCACCGCTGCAAGGTGAGTGGCCCTTTCCCTGCCCAGGGTGCTGACCTAGCAGGACTGCTCTGGAAGGGTGGACAGGACGCACCCTCCATCTTGGGCTGAGAGGGCCTCAACATTGCAGAAACATGGAGCTGGGACCCCTGGAACACATAATGAGCACACATGAAGTGGGCATACATGTAACCTTCAGGGGGAAATGTGTACATTTATAATTTAGATGTGTATGTGTGAATAGGTCTGTATATTTGCATATGTGAGTTTATAATATATGCGTGTGTGTGTGTGTGTGTGTGTGTATCCGGGTGTATATATTAGTGGGCCTGTTTTGTTTTTTTTTGCCATTTACTCACCATGAGGCTTTGGAGACGTTGTTTAACCTCATCGGCCTCAGGTTTCATAATCTGTAAAACAGGGATCATTGTGTTACATAAAACTATCATTAAAACGAAATGAAGTAATATTTGTACTAGGCACTTGAGCGGGTGCTCCCTACAAGTGGCCGTTATTACTGAAGCACTTAGTGAACTGTAAATTGTTGCATAAATATTATTTCTTTCCTACTTCTTATGGAGAGGAAGTGAGTTAGCATTTGTGAAAACACCTGGAGAACTCAAAGTCACTGTTCATATGGGAGGGTTGATGACGGATTGAACTAATGAGGTCATCGTAAGAAATAATGGTAATGGTAATTCTGTCCAACAAGAGCGATGCTCATGAGCCCAGTCTGGGAGGCTTGAGGACAGGCAGGAGATTGATGTTTTCCCCTCTTCCCCTCGGCTCAGCTCCTGGCCCCTGGCACGTTGTGCCGCCAGCAGGCCCGGCAGTGCGACCTCCCCGAGTTCTGCACGGGCAAGTCTCCCCACTGTCCCACCAACTTCTACCAGATGGATGGCACCCCCTGCGAGGGTGGCCAGGCCTACTGCTACAATGGCATGTGCCTCACCTACCAGGAGCAGTGCCGGCAGCTGTGGGGTCCCGGTAAGTGAGCTGGGTGAGCAGCCCTCCTCCCGCCACCTCTGCTGAGCGTAGAATCTTGGCTTCAAAACAGCATCTCCAGATGCTACCCTTGGGCCGGGTAGACTTCAGGGAGAGGCAGTGGACCGTGATCCTTCCAGTTCCTTGATGCTGTGAGTTCTCAGAGCAGGTGAATGGATAAGAATAATCCCAAAGAGAAGTGGGCAGAGGATGGAGACAGAAAAGAAAATGCAAGTGGCCCTTAGCTACGAGAAGATGTTTTACCCTCACTCATATTAAGTGAAAGCAAATTATAACTACCATAAGATGGGACTTTTCATATATGAGATTGGCAGAGACTGAAGAGTTAATATAATGTAATAGGAGTAGTAGTGATAATAATAACAATACTGTAATGACCATAACAAGAACAATAATAATATAGTGATGTGGAGAGTGTGGGGAGACAGATAGGTACAGCCCCTATGGAGGGCATTTGGAGATATGTAAATTTTAAGTACACGAGTCACTGGATCCTTCCATTCTGCTATTTAGGAATGTACTTGAACATGTATGTGAAGATAAATTTACAAGGACAATCACTGCGGCATTGTTAGTTGTAGCAATAACATCTGTATAGGAAGCAGTTAAATTAATTCTGGTACCTCCATGCAGTGTAACACAGTGCAGCTGAATAGAAGGAGGCAGCCCAGTACGCACTGCATCGAACCATCTCCCACAGTGAGTTGAGTGAACAGTGCAAGATGCAGAACAGCAAGTAGAACATGCTGTCATTCTTTATGAGATACATCATTGCTAAAAGATACACAAGAATTATACCTAGAAGATATATAGTTATCTGTAGAAGATACCTTGTTAATTGTGATTACTTCTCCGGGGTGTGGGGAAGTAGGACCTGGAATGGCTAGTTAGAGAAAGTCCCAAGATGTACCTTTTTTCTTTAAAATTTTGCACATGTATTACCTGTTTTTAAAAACCCTGAGAAAGGTCAGGGCTTCTCTACTAGAGAGAAGATTTAATATACAAACCCACAGATATGAAACCTCAGTGAAGAATAAAGAACTGATATAAAAGCTGTTTCTATGAGTAGGAATGGAATAACCTGCTAGGGCATACAGGAAGAAAAGGCTGGGTATTCTCTCCCAAAAAGCTTCTTAACCTTGATACATTACCAAGGACTAGCTTTGCCCTTTGGAGGCTTCTGACTTCCACCCAAGCTGGTTACTGTACTGATGAATGTTTCTTGCCCACTCAGGAGCCCGGCCTGCTCCTGATCTCTGCTTCGAGAAGGTGAATGTGGCAGGGGACACCTTCGGAAACTGTGGGAAGGACATGAATGGGGAATACAAGAAGTGCAGCATGAGGTGATGACCGTAGGGCAGACCCTCTGAGACGAGGGGTAGCAAGCCCATCCCTGTTACGTCCTCACCCCTCACTCCCCCAGCTCAGCAGCTTGGCTCATCCTGGAGCTGGGCCTTCCAACAAATGGTTCGGAGTCAGTCATCTCCTCGGGACTATTGTTGGACGGTGCCCCCTTCAGCCCAAGGAAATCAGGGGGAGGGTGTGGATGGCACTGCTTCTTAGAAAGCTGATCCGACTTCCTTTTGGGACCTTCTTACAGTAGCCAGGGAATCAGCCTTCTTGCAGGGTGCTAATTATACCCTCATCTGAATAGCTCACCATCCATTAACTCATTCATTCATTCATTTCAACCACCCCTCCACCTACCCATCTACCCAACCATGTGTTCACCTGTCCACTGTTCTTTAGGGGATTTGCCATGTGCCAGATACTATGCTGAGTATATAGGACTTTTAATTAACAGTGTGATAATGGACATGATCTTAGTGGGCGGAGGTGGTTTCCCAAAGGAAGTTATGCATGAGCTGAGGTCTGGACAAATTGTTAGTTGAATAGGGTGGGGAATGGTGATGGTACATGGGAGAGTGTCCCAGGCAGAGATGAGAAGACAAAAACTGGTGGTCAGAAGAATCGATAGTTTAATGTAAAGTACGATGTTGGGGTGCAATGGAGAAAGGGCTGCTTGGAAATGAGGCTGGATAGTTAAGCAGGGACCAGGTCATAAAGGTCCTGAGTGCATGGGTGAGAGAGTGTGGACTTTAGCTTGAGAGCAACTTGGAAATTAGATTCCAGGGGGGAAGCAGGGAGATCCGTTTCCTGGTGTCCAGATAAGAGGGGAGGAGGATGTGAATTAGGGTCAATACATGGAGGATTAATAGGACTTAAAAGTTACTTGAACCCGAGAGTGAGGACGAACAGGGAGTCTGGGATGACACCAGGCTTCTGGTTGCAGCACCTGGGTGCACGGGGTGCAAGGACTGTATGGGGCAGGTCGCTCAGTTCAGACCGTCGTCCTTGCAGTAAAGAGGACTCCCTAAGGCCATCTCTCTGGCCTGGATCTGCTTGGGGTCAGGGATCCTGTTTCCTTCTCTTTATCTAAGTCCATGTGGGGGGGGTCTCTCCTGGTGGGTCCCTAGAGCATGCTCATTGCCCATTTGCCCATTCCCCAGGCTTGGAAGCCTGCTGTCCTGGTCAAGAAAAACAAAGCTTTGTGGTGCCCCAGTTCTCCCTCTGTCTCTGATTCCACCTCCTTTTCTCCCTCTCTCGGGCCCAGAGATGCCAAGTGTGGGAAGATCCAGTGTCAGAGTTCTGAGGCCCGGCCCCTGGAGTCCAACGCGGTGCCCATCGACACCACCATCATCATGAACGGGAGGCAGTTCCGATGTCGGGGCACCCACGTCTACCGAAGTCCCGAGGAGGAGGGTGACATGCTGGACCCAGGCCTGGTGATGACCGGAACCAAGTGTGGCTACAACCACGTGAGTCCCTTCCCCCAGCTTCGCTCGGGCTGGGCTGCAAGGGCAGTGACCGAGAAGCGTGAACTCCGGAGGGAGGATGTCTGGGCTCAGATCCCAGCTGGCCCAGCATCACGGCACCTGGCTGGGCAGCTATTATCACTATCACTTTTGCTCTCATCATTAATATCATGAATTAAGAGATGGACTGGACCAGGAGTCAGGGAAGCCTGGGGAAAACAGTGGTGCCCATCTCAGAGTTAACTCTGAGAATGAAATGATAACAAACAAACAAACATATGAAGCACTTGGTATAGCACCCGGCACAGGGTAGACTGCTGTCACCATCAACATTATTTTTAATATAATATTAAAACTAGTGCATATTAATATACAACTAAGTAACTAACATATAATAATATAGGATGTAATAACACATATTTATTATATTATTAGGTATAATGCTTTAGCAATATACTTAATTTGCTGTTTTCTCACTAATCATAAAAGTAATAGTGGAGCCCTGGCTGGTTTGGCTCAGCGGTTAGAGCGTCAGCCTGCGGTCCAGAGAGACCCGGGTTCGGTTCCCAGTAGGGGCGCGTGCCTTGGTTGCAGTTTGTCCCCGGCCCTGGTGCAGGTGGCAGCCACTCAATGTGTCCCTTTCGTGTCGATGTTTCTCTCTCTCTCTCTCCCTCCCACTCTATCTGAACAGAAAATGGAGGAACGTCCTCGGGTGAGGATAAAAAAACAAAAACAAAAAAAAGCAATAGTGGAATTTCGTTAACTACTGTCCAGTCCTTGGCGTTTTTTGGTTTCCAAATTTCCGCTCTAAGAATAACCTGCAGCGGGCTGCCTTTTTGAGTCCCCTCTGTTCTAGGTGCAAAGCCCCAGTCTTCTGATCGTTAAGCAGCGAGTGAGTCCCTTTGGTTGTGCTGACAGTTCGGTTTCTCCTGACTACAGATTTGCTTCGAGGGGCAGTGCAGGAACACCTCCTTCTTTGAAACAGAAGGCTGTGGGAAGAAGTGCAATGGCCACGGGGTACGTGTGCTCAGGGTTCTGGGGATCCTCGGCTAGTGTCGGGGTGCAGGCCCTGTGGGAGGCTGGAGCTCTCCAGGGTGCTGATGCCTCCGCTGGCCCTTGCTGCAGGTCTGCAACAACAATCAGAACTGCCACTGCTTCTCGGGCTGGGCCCCGCCCTTCTGTGACACAGCCGGCTTTGGGGGCAGCATTGACAGCGGGCCCATGCCCCCCGAGGGTGAGTGCCCGGCCTACCTGGGGCCTCTGCCCACCATCGTAAGGAGATGTTGTCACCATGGGGGCAGGGGGCATGTTGCAGAGGGATAATGCATCAGCTTCAGCATCCTGATTTTGTAAATGAGGGAACGAGAAAGAGGGGCCAAGTGGGAGGAGCAGGTGGGGCTCAGCTCCGTTGCCCTTCCTGTGTGTTTTCTACTGAGGGGAGTGAACCCTCTTAGAGAGAGAAAGAGATTACGACACATGGTAGGTTATTGAATGATAACCTACCCCTGTTGGGCATGGGGTGGGGTGGTAACCAGTCCTCCTCAGCCACTTAAAGACAGTCGTGAACCCAGGGCATGGAGAACCGGAAAAATTTACTAGACATCTCAAGGATTCTAGCCCTTTGGTTTCCGAGCTTTTAAAAAAAATGTTTTTATTACAATTTTTGAGTTAAAATAAGTAATACCCATTAAGTGCAAATCAGACATCCGGTGAAGAATCAGGCCACGTGGCTGGGAACCGCCGCGGGAGCCCAGGTGGCTTCTCGGTCTCACCGGGGCTCTGTGTCTGGAAGGCATAGGTCCCGTGGTGGCCGGAGTGTTCTCGGCCCTGTTCGTGCTGGCCGTGCTCGTGCTGATGTACCACTGCTGCAGGCAGGACAGCAGGCTGGGCCAGCTCAAGCCCTTTGCCCTGCCCTCCAAGCTGAGGCAACACTTCAGGTATGATGGGGTGCCATGGAGGACTGGGGGTGTCTAGTCTCTTGAGTCCCATATTAACTTACACTTGTCCTGGGAGGGGATTTTAAATCCCAGGTCCTTCTGAATCGACGCCTAAGGGGGATTAGTTGATGGCTGATGGCATCCTTGGGTCCCCTTGGGGGAGAACGGTCTTAAAGGGGTGAAGAGAAGACACTGCGGAAAACTCCGCCTTGAATAAGGCCATCTCTTTTTTCCTGGGAGTTCTCCACTGGCCACATATGTCTTCATACCTCAGGAGCTGGGGTTCAGGAGGACCGCCCTCAGTTTCTGCAGAGCAGACTTGGGGGAAAATGGGCTATTTACTGGCTGTGCTTGGATCAGAGGGAACTCTGGCACTGACCCTCAACGGTCGCCCCATTCCTTGTCGTTAGTTGTCCCTTCAGGGTGTCTCAGAGCAGTGGAACTGGCCACGCCAACCCAACGTTCAAGTTGCAGACACCCCAGGGCAAGCGAAAGGTAAGGGCTTTGCACCTTGAACTTTGCTACTTTTCCTTCGTCCTCAGGACCCCCTGGGATTTTCCTAAGAGCCTCTGTGGCCAAGAGATTGATAATAAAGCCACTTTCTCGGCATGAGAGACATTCACCTCATTCTGATATCCCCCAGTGGTTGCATCTGACTTCTGGGATCGCAGGGATTTAACAAGTCACCCCGATCTCCCTCGGCCTCTGGTCATCTCACAAGGGCACCCCTGAGTTTTTAAGTGCATTGAGGGTTCCTTTGTCTTAGACATTCCTTGTCTTATGCATACAGGTGACCAACACCCCTGAAACTCCACGGAAGCCCTCCCAGCCTCCTCCGCGGCCCCCTCCAGGCTATCTGCATGGCGGGTCCCCACCCGAGCCACTGTCAGCACACCTCACCAGGGCTCTCAGGAGCTCCCCAGGGGCTGGATCCCCAGTAGAGAGGAAGGAGTCATCCAGGAGGCCTCCCCCAAGCCGGCCAATGCCCCCTGCACCAAATTGCATACTCTCCCAGGTAAGTGGATACTCAGCAACCTTGGGCTGGGGATATTGAGGCCACCAGCAAGGGAGTGTCCAGGGCTGAGCCTGAGCCAGCTGCCCCTCCTGCACGCTGGTATTACAGACGAAGCGCAGAGTGTGGGGCATGTACGCCCAGCCCCTGAGCTGCAGAGGAGTTCTGCCCTGGTTGGCCTATTTTATGACAAGCCACTGCCCACCTTCCTCCCCAAATTAACTTCTTTCAGTTCCCCGTGGTCTTCTCTTCTCCAGGTCTTTGTAAACGCTGTTTCCTCTGCCTGCTACACTTTCTTCCTTTCCAATGCCCAGCTCCTCTGCATCCCCAGCTCTTCTCTCAGATGCCACCGCTCCCTAGAAGCCCCCTGGAGCCCCTGAAGCCCGAGTGTGGTGGCCCCGCACTTCTCAGTAATTGCCCCACCAGACTACCTGCCGGTGTCTACTAGTCAGGAGGTCTGATGGCGGATGTACTGTGATGCCTTGCTCCCTGGGGCCAGGCAGGGGCAGGGGCTTTGGGGGTGTGAGAGGGGTCTGGGTCGGACCCCGCCACTGGGGCTCTTGGGAAGCGGAGCAGCCCCGCCCAGCTGCCTGTTCACCGCGTGTCTGAGCTCCGACGGCTCCTACTGTACCTTCTGGCAGAAGTTCCCGCAGCAGACACAGAAGTTTCCAGGGCGGTAGCCGGCCTCGTGCCCGCCGGGGTCGAACTGTGTTTGGGTGTGACCCTGCCGTGGAGCGGGGATTTGCTTACTTTCCTCCTGGGACTGCTTTTCTTGGGCACCGTCCAGAGGGCTCCCCGGGGGCCCAGCCTGTCTCTGAACCTAAGGACTGGTGTTGGCGCCAGTCCCTGAGGGCCCCTGGGACGTGGGCAGTGTCACAGTTTGGCAGAGCCAAGCACACCAGGTTTGGCTCTCTGATAAGGTGAAGCTCCTGCTTTCTCACTCGGCTCATCTGGGGCAGGGGTGGGTCATCTGGGGCAGGGGTGGGTCATCTGGGGCAGGGGTGGCTCATCTGGGGCAGGGGTGGGTCATCTGGGGCAAGGGTGGCTCATCTGGGGCAGGGGTGGCTCATCTGGGGCAGGGGTGGCTCATCTGGGGCAGGGGTGGGTCATCTGGGGCAGGGGTGGCTCATCTGGGGCAGGGGTGGGACGGAAAAGCTGTGCAGAAGGGCTGGAGAGACTGGGGGGAGGGGGAGGAAAAGCACCAGAGGAAAGCGGAGGTGAGTGCGTGAGTCGGCTCGGGCAGCCACACCTACGCACAGACTGAGGGGCCTGAACAACAGAAATGTATGTCCTCGGTCTGGAGGCTACAGTCCAAGGGCAGGGTGTCAGTGGGTGTGGTTTCGTCCAGGGCCTTCTCGGCTGCGCCCTGGTCTTCGTGCGGTCGGTCCTTCCTTAGGCATGTGCGCCCTGTGTCTCCCTGTGTCCAGATTTCCTCTTCAAAGGACCCCAGATTGGACTCGAGCCTCGTTTTTAACTTGCTCACCTCTTTAAAGGCCCTGTCTTCAAAGACAGTCTCATTCTGAGGGACCGGGCGTTGGGGCTACAACAGAAGGATTTGAGGGGGCACAGTTCAGCCCACAACAGGGGGAGGAGAGAGGGAGCAAGAGGGGAGAGAGCACAAGGGTGTGAAAGGAGACAGGTGCGGGAAGAGAGGCGGAGAGGGCTGTCTGATCGCCCTTGTTCCTGAAACACCCACCCTGGAGGCTTGTTGAACGACAGCGTGTGAGCCTCTCCCGAGGCACTGAGCAGAGGGTTGGGGTAGGGGCACACCAGGGGTGGGGGCGTTGTCACTTTAAATAAGGTGCTCAGGGAAGGCCTTAATGAGAAAGTAATCCAAAAGCAGAGAGGAAGGAATTCCTGTTCATTGTGCACCCCCATAGCCAACCGGTCAGTCTAAACTTTTATTTTTATTTGCACAGGTAATACACCTATATGCTCTTATTGAAAAAAAATTACGTGTTCGTCTGGGGGAACACCCTCCCCACTCACACCCCATCCCTAGCCCCCGTTATCAGTTTGGTCTGTGTCCTTCCTGCCTTCCTTCTGTACGGCTGGATTTACATGGGGGGCGGGGCGCGCGGGCCGGGGGGCTTCTTGCACATGAACTGTCCGCTTGCAGTGACTCTCCATCGTCTCTCCACATGGGCACACGCCCACCTGCTCCATTCTTTTTAAATGCTGCTCCGTATGTCACTGTATAACCTTCGTCATTTGTCTGCTGATGGGAATTAGGGTTATTTATAGAGTCTTTTGCTGTCACAGTGCTGAAAGGAACGTCCTTGTCATTTCACGGTTTGTGTCCTTATTTAAATAGTTCTCTGACATGGGTAATAGGACGTAGAATTATTAGATCAGAGAAGAATTATTTCTAATTATAATAGATTTGGCCAACTTACTCTTCAAAAGGCTTCTTCCCGAGCATTAAAACACATATGCACACATGCAATAATTTTATTTTTTTTCTCATCTGATTTGATCCGTAATCATATTGGGAACCTTTTCTTTTGAACAGGCCCCTCTGGGCCCTGAGTGAGACTGTGGCTTTCCCCCCAGGACCTCTCCAGGCCTAGACCACCCCAGAAGGCGCTCCCGGCTAACCCGGTGCCGGGCCGCAAGAACCTCCCCAGGCCAGCCGGTGTCGCCATTCTGCCACCCACTGCCACCCGCCCTGAGCAGGCCAGGCCTCTGATAGCATCTGCCCTCAAGGTGAGTCTGCGGTAAAAGCTGAAGCCAGAGGCCTCCCGGGGGCAGGACTGTGGCTGAGAAAACAGACTGAGTCCATGCTCCTGGTGGTAGGGCTGAACTTCCCAGACAAAGGCCAAGGACCAAAGCTGGGTGTTTCTTGGTGCCCACATGGCTGTCCCCTAAATGGCTGGTAGGGTTTTTTTTGTTTCATGGTAAAAGTGATGTAGAGGAGCTGAGCTCTGATGGTTTCTCACCTGCATCTGCAGCTGAGTAGCTGGGAGGCCCTGCACAAGTACCCCGCCCCCCCCAGTTTGTTTCCTTTCCTGGGGAGGCAGTGAGGAGTAGCCCCTCAGGCCGCTGTGAGGGTCACGGCAGATAATTTATGTGAACTGCTGGCCTGTGTGCACAGATCAGAGGACTCCTGTTCCCTGTTCCCTGGGCTGATGTGTCCTCCGGCTGCCAGTCCTGAGAGTCGGGCATAGGGCGGGTGAGGAGGCTGGCGGACTCTGTGTTCCCAGGAGACCGTGGGAAATCTGTGGGGGGAGGGAGGGCGATGGCTTGTGAGCTTGTGGTGGGGGCACCACCATGTGGGGTTGGTGTCACAGACTTCCACCGGAAACCATGCCTCTCGCTGACCGGCTGACACCCGACTGCCCTGCCGAAACCGGAGGGTAACCCCCGTGACCCTCCCGATCAACAGGGACCTGATGTCTCTCCCTCTCCTCTCTCCGCAGTTTCCTGACTATAGGTCGCAGAGGGCTGGGCAGATGACTAGCTCAAGAATCTAGACCTGTCCACGGGGCTGCTCCCTTTCCTGAAGGACTCTGAACACCAGTCTGGAAGAAGCCTGTCTGGCCGCCTCTGAGCCCCTCTTCCCTCCTCCCGGAACCACTGCATCTCCGAAAACCTCCTGGATTCAGGGCCTCCCCCGCCTCCTGGGAGGCCACAGGGACCACTCTCCAATGGCATCCAAGTGTTGTTTTGTGCAATATACAGCCCGGGGCAGGGGGGGCACGCAGGAGAGGATGAGTGGCAGCTCCTCCACCCTCCCTTCAGCTGGCCCCTCACCTCAGACTGCCCGTGGCCCAGGCAGTCTGAGCTGAGGAGCCTGCCTGGGAACAGTCCCCTCAGGGCAGGGCTCATCTTGGAGCAGCCACCCACTCTCACCCTGTGATGGAGGGTGTGCATGACAGCTTTCGATTGCTTCTGTCTTCCTGGAAGGTCCCAGGCTGGACCGAGGCTAGGCACTTACCCGTCCTCCGTAGGTCTGAGATTGAGAGGGGTCAAACCAGCCACTGCTGGGTCCCTGCTCCATTGGGGTCACAGCTCTGGCTCTGCAGCCACATGTGAACAAATCCAGTCCCCTCCTCACCCCTCCCACACCCCCACATGCCCTCATTTCCCAGGTCACTGACTCAGACAGGTACTATTCGTAGGCAGTGTAGACAGCAGGGGGAGCCCCAGGCCTCCTCTGAGCCTAATGCCAAAGGTTTTGCCTCTTGACTCCCTAGAATTCTTGGTTGCCCTTGTTTTCGCCTCTGCACTTCCCAAGTGCCCCACGCTTTGCTGTCTCCTTCCCTGCTTGGACCCACTCAGTGTGTGGTGCCGTGGAGAGTGGACCCTCGGCCGTCCTGACTTCCTGGGGTCTGGTGCTTGTGACCTGCATGACAAGGTCCTGCCTCAAGGGTTGGCTCCATCGGCTCTCAAGGGTGTTGGCCAAAGTGGACTCGCGCCATGGCTGTGGGGGTCATGGCTTTGTTTTTCATTGTGTTTGTGACCTCAGCAGGGTGGGTGTCTCCCCACTGCTCCCTGACCTAAATCTGAGCAAGGTCCCCCGGGATGGCAGCGGGTGCTGTGACCTAGGGAGCAGACTCCTAGGAACCCCGGCCTGTGCGCAGGTCTGTCCCTGACCGGAGGCTGTGCTGTTGCCTGCAGAGCAGAGCACACCTGTCTCGAGGTCCGAGACAAGCAGCGGTCACCGTGGTGAAGGGACAGTCTGAGCTGGGGCCAACCAGGCTGTTTATAGTCTGCCCCCTTGTGTTCTCTCTGGTCACTGCCCTAATCTGCCCCCCCCACCCCCCACCCCGGAGCAGGGAAGGAGGGCTGTGTGGTGCTCTGCTAAATCCGATGACTTATCTCTGGAATGTTCTCTGGGACTGTCTCCCACCCCCAGAAAGGTGCTCTTGAAAACCTCAGTGCAAGGAAGAGACTTGAGCTTTCACCCCCAACCACCCCCACCCCCCTTACAGTTCTGTGCACACAAGTGCTCAGTAGATGTCCTTGGGTCTGTAGACAAGTGGGAGATTTGGGATCTGCACCCGGGGATGTACATGGGGTGGATTTAGAAAGATCTCAGGAAAATGAGGTTCTCTTCCCTCAGGTAGTTGTGATGTTCGCGCCCTTGTCTCGCCGGCATGGGCCCTGGTTGCCCCCCACAGCCAATGTCAACTCACCTTGCTGCCAGTTAAGTCGGGGGACAGCTTGCCATTGAAGTGTGCTACTGCAACCGTCCCAGGCCTCAGTGCTGGGTCCCAGAAAAGTGAAAGTGAAAACAACCCCCGCAAAAATAAAAATCACCCTTAAAGCCACCCCCATGGCCCACAGATGTTCCTGTGGCTTGTCCAGCTCTTCTCCCTCACGGCTCTGAATGCTACAGCCATTGTGGCTGCTTGAGCCTTTTGAACCTGAAATCCACTCTCCCTGGAACCATAACCGAAAGACATCTGGGTTGTTGCTTTCTTGTTTTTTTTTTTTTTTCTGTTGTTGTTCGTTTTCCATGATTTCAATACCACCTCCATCCCATAAAATTGTACTGTGAACTGGAAGATGGCTGAATTTTTAAAATTTGATAGAGACTGGGCAGCGGTTCCATTTATATTTCGCTCCTGGCTCTGTTCAGGGAGCCAGGCATCGCCAATCTGGCAGGCCCAGGTGGCAAGACCGGCCATGCCGTGCACCTTTCCCCCTCTGTGCCCACGTGCTGCTTTGAGGTGACAGAGATAAATCCGGACTTAAGGACGGAGGGACTTTCTTAGAAAGGGTGACTGCAGCGGGGACAGGGAATATTGCAGTAGGCATAATGCAACTGCGGCAAGGTCTGCTCACATCCCAAAGCCCAGAAGAGGCCTTTGCTTTTATAGGGAGGAGTGAACTTGGCCAGAAAGAGGTATATTCAGGGACCATGTTTGTGCTCGCCTTTCGGGGGAGGGGCTGTAGGTCGGCTCGGGCTAAGGGTGGGTCCAGGTTCGGAGTCTAAGGGGAGGAGGGCTTAACAAAGGCTCAGTGGACTGAGTTAACCAGCGCTGTGTTCAGATGGCGATGCATATACATCTTTTCAAAAGTTAATTTAGCCTTCTGCCAGTTTTACAACCCTGGAAATGTTTTCCTTAAGAGCCTGGGAGCCATCTCTGCAATGTAAACCTCAGGGGACTTCAAGGGAGATAGTGCCTGGCTCCCTGCCTGTCTCAGTGGGAGCTGCAGCCCAGGCGCCCGGCTCCGAGTTGTAACTACCTGGCTGCCCTGGGTTCTCTTTAGCCTTGTTTACTTCTCCCTGTAAAAGAAAAGCTCCTTTCTGCCCCGGCTCTGAGACACGTGCAGATCTCCTGGGATTGCAGATCTCAGCCCTACTGGGTCGTTCCTTGCCCGTCTCTTGCAGTAATCCTTTCGAATAAAGCCTCCCCTTACCTATGTCCAAATTTGTTATTTGGCAGAGGGGACGGAAGATGTGCATATTTATATTGGGGACCAGTTCTACAGTCAGTGATTGTATTAACTGCATGTATAACAGCTCTGCTGGACACTCGAGAAAGCCAAGGGAATGCCAACTGGAAAGGTGCTAAGAGGGGTTCTGCAGAATCCAAGCCAGGTGCCCCCCAAAGTCACCCTTTCCCACATCTCACACCATCCACTGTGTGTGCGTATGTGTCTGGGATCCAGGGCAATGTGAATTTTCTTTTATTTGGGAGACTGTTTGTGGAAAACAGGTCATCTTCTTTCTTGTCCACCTATTAATTGTTTACAGTAGTTGTACATCTATGCAAAATACTTGAATGGGCCGTGGTGCCTTTTTTCCTTGTTTGTATTTAATTAAAATAAATTGTCATTTGAAATGTTGTCTGGTTTGGCAGCTCTGTTTTGCTTGCTTGTTTGTTTGAATGTCCTACCGCTCAGCCTGGAGAGGATCTGGCCAGGAGGGCTCAGAAGGAGCGTGCCCACCAAGACCATCGGGCATCAGGCCATAATGGAAGAACCTGAGCTACACAGAAGCCTTGGGCTTCCCCAGGGGCAGTCAAAAGGGCTGTTTCTCTGCATTTGGACACAGGCTGGTCAAGTTTAATTAGGTCTTGTGTCCTAAAGACATGAATGATCCTGGGATTCCCTGATACGTGTTTGATAGGCAGCAGAGACTCTCTGTTCTCATCTTAATTGTTAGGGTTCATGCTCTTCAAAGAGGGGGGACTTGCCCGAGGGCACTGGGCTGGGTGGGCAGGTGCAGAGCTGGGGCCGAGGGGGGTGCGTCTTCTGACTCCAGAGCCCTGTGTGCTGACAGCTCATCCCTAGTGCTTCCCAGTCCGTAAAAGGATCCCACCCTCGTTCTCTCATTTCATCTCCACTTCATAATAACCATGATAGCAAATAACATTTACCGAGTACTTAACACACGCTAGGTCTGAGTGCTACTTTATCTCATTTAGCCTCCACAGGAGCCCTCGGAGGGCTCCTTGGTATCCGAGCATACTTTTCTAACCCGCACAGTGATGAGTTTGCCTAAGGACATCAAAGGCATCAAACACAAATGCCCTGAACTATTAAAATGTCTGCTCACGAAATTAGTCCCCACCCAACAGCCCTGCTTACCTACCACCATCATCTAAACAAACCACAGTGTCCCTCTGTTGATAGTCGCGGACACAGAGCCTGGCTGCACAGACCTGGCTCACGTTCTGCCTCTGCTGCTTATGAGATGTGTGCGAGCTGGTAAGTCTCCTTTTACTACAAGTGGGGACACCACCGCCCAGAGTGTCCTGAACATGTCCTGTGGGGACGTGCCCCGCTGTGGCTAGCACCGGCTAAGTGCTCAGAAATGACATCACTGTTAGAGCTGTTCTGCTTAAGGTGTTGGGGTTCTGTTAGGCTCTGTTCTGGGTTAGAGCTGCCCCCCAAGAAGTTTGGGCAAAGAAGGACTATTTGGAATGTCACTGTTCCTTCATTCAACACATGTTTTTATGAGGGCCAACTATGTGCTAGGATGTCCATCGGGGCCTTCGCGGATGCCCTGTACTCCGGGGAGCAGGCTACAGACAGCTCTCATCGGGTGACCGCGCAGGTCACAGAGAAAATGAACAGAGTATAACATCAGACTGCGCCTGGTGGTTAAGGCTGTGGGCTCAGAGCCGGATATCAGCGTCGACTGATCATGGCTATGTGGCCTTGGGCGATTACCTAACCTCTCTGAGACCCATTTCTCATATATAAAATGAGGATGAAGCCCTGGCCGGTTTGGCTCAGCGGTAAGAGCGTTGGCCCGCGGACCAGCGAGTCCCGGGTTCAGTTCCCGCTAGGGGCACGTGCCTTGGTTGCAGTTTGTCCCTGGCCCCAGCTGGGGTCGTGTGGGTGGCAACCAGTCCATGTGTCTCTTTCACACCGATGTTTCTCCATCCTCTTCCTCCCTTTCTCCTTCCCAGTCTATCTGAAGATAGATGCAAAAATGTCCCCGGGTGAGGATAAAAAAAAAAAACTAAAAAATTTTTTTTCTTAAAAAAATAAATAAATAAAATAAAATGAGGATAAAAATATATCTGCTTTGGGGACTTGTGAGGACTTAGAATTTGCGTGAAGCTCTTAGCACGATGCCAGGCTTTTAGCAAGGGCTTGGGCGTTAACAAGAGACGAGCATCATCTATTGATGATGTCTTCTGTTTCCACAGCAGCCTTTCCTGCCCTGGTGAGGGCTGTTGAAAACCACTGTGGGGACTTCTTTGGAAGCCACAACCCTCCAGAGGTCAGGGACCAGCTTCCCAGCACTAGCGGAGCCAGGGTGATTGCTCCGTGTCTGAGGAAGGCTAAGACACAAGTATAAAGTAAACATACCCGAAGTCTTTATTCTTGACCCTGGAGACCACACTCTCAGGGCCCCCAGATGACTGCTCTTCTCAAGATCCAACATGTTGCATCGATTTTCGTTGCGGACAGAAATCCGCATTCACGACCAACTGGGGATTTGAGGCTGGAGACGCAGGAGCCAGCCTGTTGGTCGGCTGAAACTTTGGAGCTCCAAGGCCAGCAAGAGTCCCTGGCCTGGGCGTGGCTGCGCTTAGGGTGTGGTGTGTAAACACAGGGCGCAGGTGTGGAGCTAGGCAGGGGAGGCACCACCCCAACTGGGGGCCGAGGATCCAGGCTTCCCTCTTTATAGAGACACTTGGCTCCCTTACTTTGCATGCCATGGTCCTTGTACCAACTCCCACATTCCTGCAGCTGGAAAGGGGACTCAAAGGGGGAGGGGCTCAATTCTCTCTCTCTTTCCAGCTGCTCTTGTGTTTTGAATGCCTCTGGCCAAATGTGAAGGGACCGACGGCAGTCCCCAAAGCAGGTGGTGCTGGAGCATCATGACGCACTGCTTCCCAGGGTAGGCAGCGCACCAGTGGAGCGGGGGGCTTGGTGGCAATCTGGTCAACAGCCAGAATGTACCCGTGCCAAACCTACACCCCACTTGGTCACTGAAGTTCAAAGCTGGTCCCACTGGCCAAGCCTCTAATGCTGGAGCCCAGAAACTACCCAGAGCCCTCTCCACCCAGGGTCTTGGTTGGGCACCAGAGTGAACACTGAAGCTAGCTCCTGGTTTCCATGGAGAGTGGTTGCTTCCTGCCAAATCCTGACTTTGTGCTTCACTCTCATCTCACCAAAGTGTATTTTTGTTTATTCCTTGAGGAAAAATAAAGTGCATTCTGCCTCAAGCGCGTCGACGGGGTACCTGAAAGAGCAGGGCACTTGCTGTTCTGAGGCAAAGGGACAATTGGGTTTGCCAGCAGCGTCTTGCTGCGGAGCGTCTTGCTGCGGAGCATCTTCTGTGGTGGTGGTTGTCGCTTTGTTTTGAGTTCTGAGATAACAGCCTGGACGGCTCCTTAGGACGTGTGGAGAGAGGGAAGGGGCATGGGCGTGGAGTCCGTGGGTACGAGGATGCTGACCTCGGGGCTGGAGCGCTTGGGGAGTGGGGCTGGTGGAAATGTTTCCCTGAGATGCCAGGTGACTTTCACAGTAAGAAGGTCAGCTGAGGTTTAGCTTCTGTCTCCAAAGAGGAAGCGCAAAAGCAGCGAGATGTTTCTCATTAGCTGAGTCTCTGCCGGCTCTGGACGGGGTGGACGGGGCGGCGGGCCAGTGGCTCTCTGAGCCTCAGGGAGCCTGTTTCACATCACCGCTGGGCTAAGGAATGGCGGGCCAGTCTCCGGAGAACAAGTGCTGAGGATTTCCTGACGACCAACGTCTCGGGGAAGTTCTCAGACTATGCTACATTCAACGGGTCAAATTCCATCTTCTTCCCAACAGCATACGGATGGCACCAAGGACCCATGGGAAGGGAGGTCCAGGGGACCTGCTGGCAACAATGTAAGTAGGGCGTTTGATCATGAGGCTGTGTTTCCAGGAAGTGCTGCCCCACCACTCACTGGCAGGGGCCTTCCTCCTGGAAACAGTGATGAGGTATAAACCAATGTCTCAGAAAACAGAGCCCATTGGTAACCGTTGTGCTGGAAATAAGCAGCAGGTTCCAAAACGGAGAATCAGGCTGAGCCACAGGCTCCTCCACTCCCTCCTGGAGCCCGGGCTTTAAGAATGGACGATAAATACTTTGGGCTTCTCTTCTGGCGATGGGGTGCTGGAGAGTTCTATATTGTCCACAAGGACATTCTTGTCTTCGAGTCTAATGACAGTGGGCTCTGGGGCGGGCGCAGGGGTGGGGGCTTTGTGCATGTGGGGCAACCTCGTCTGGCTCATGTCCAGGTCTCTGAAAGCATGAAGCATGAACACACCCAGGATGATGGTGACAAAGCCAGAGAGGGTGCCCACGATGTCCACGGCGGACATGCTGTGCCACTCCTTGAAGAGGATGATGGAGGACGTGACCACGATCGTGGTGAAGAACACGTAGTAGATCGGGAACACCAGGGAGGTATTAAAAATGTCCAGCGCCCTGTTGAGGAAGTTGACCTGAGTGCTTAGTGAAAGTGCGAGGATGAGGGACAGGATGTAGGGGAGAGGGTGCCGCACAACTGGCAGCCCCTGGAAGAAGTTCTTGATGGTGATGCCCAGACCCTTGACGGCAGACACCGAGAAGGCCCCGATCACAGAGCAGATGACGATGTAAACGAGGATGTTCCTCTGCCCATAACGTGGGGCGATGACGAAGATGAGGATGAGGCAGAACACCAGCAGCAGCACGGCAAACACGATGTACCCTTCAGGAGGGGAAGGAGACAGATAACCCCAAGACCACAGCTGCCTCGTTTGTAAAAAAGGCTAATAACAACACCTTCCACACTGAGCTTTTTCCCCCCGCAGGATTAAATGAGATCATGTGTGCTGTAAGGCAGAATGTGTTCCTCCCAAATTCATATGTTAAAACATAATCCCCAGTGGGACGGTATTTGGAGGGGGGACCTTTGGGAGGAGCCTGCATGAATGGGATTAGGAGCCTTATGAAAGGGACCCCAGAGAGCTCCTTCGACCCCTCCGCCACGTGGGACACGGTGAGAAGACAGTTATCTATGAATCAGGAAGCGAGCGCACCAGGCACGACATGTGCTGGCACCTTCATCATCGACTTCCAGCCCCCGGAACGGAGCGAAATAAATTTCTGTTGTTTATAAGCCAGCCAGTCTGTGGTCTTTAGTTACAGCAGCCTGAACTGACTAAGGGAAGTCAGACAAAGCCCTTAGAACAGTGTCTGCCACACACTAAACACTTCACAAGTGGCACTGATACGCATTAGGCTGGGAAACCTATAGGCTGGCCTTAGTACCAGCGCCCCTTTCTTTAGCTTGCCGCCTCCTCCAGGTGGCAGCCCCGGAGATGCCCCGAACCCAGTCCGCCCTTCCACTGGCTCATCCCCCACCCCGTCCTGCTCGGGGGGCGGGGGGCGCGGGGCTTGAAGCCTACCTGTGTCTTTCATCTTGGCGGCCATCTCGACGACGGTGGTGACCTTCTCTTCCTCGGGCGCATGTATCACCATCACCGTGCTGCCGGTCACACAGATCACACAGCCCAGCTTTCCCAGCAGGTTCAGGCTCTCCCCCAGGAAATAGGAGGAGAGGATGGCACTGCAGGTGGGGGTGGGAGGATGGATGAGGCAGCCAGGCCCGTGCCAGGACCCAGAAGAGGACTGAGGTCTGAGCTGGTGCTCAGGGAGAACAACAGATCAGGACACACGCCTCTCTCACAGGGAAGCTTTTCTAGACCCCCCGAGACCCTTACTGACGGGAGGGTTATAGCGGGTGCGGCTGGAACTGAGGACACACAGGTGCAGTTCTTTCATGTTAGAGACTGGAAGTATTCCACAACCGAAGGGTTGGAGGAGCCCTTCAAAGCTCTCTTGTCTAACGTCCCACCCAATGAGCACATCTTCTCTGAACTTTGCGAACAGACGGCTTCTGGCCTCGGCTTGTACACTTCTGATGGCAACCAGCTTACCCCTTTCACAAGGCGAATGAATCCACTGTAGGTTCATTTTAATTACGCACCTGAATTACTGTAATTTGTACTCATTATTACATTCCTATTCCTTGAGCCACACAGAACAAACCTAGTCTTTCTTCCTTATGTTTATACCAGTATAAACAACCACAATGACAATTACAGGCAGTGTGTCTCAGGCCTATATTACATACCACGTAGTACGCGAGGAACTTTCTATGTAGTATGTCACTAGCATCTCACAACTCTTTGAGAAGTAAAATAGGCTATCCCCACTTTATATTTATTTATTTACTTAATCCTCACCCGAGGACATTTTTCCATTTTTTGTTCAGATAGAGTGGGAGGGAGAGAGAGAGAGAGAGAGAGACATCGACGTGAAAGGGACACATCGAGTGGCTGCCACCCGCACGACCAACCAGGGCCGGGGACAAACTGCAACCGAGGTACGTGCCCTTAGAAGGAACCGAATCCGGGTCTCTCTGGACCACAGGCTGATGCTCTAACTGCTGAGCCAAACTGGCCAGGGCCTATCCCCACTTTATAGATGAGAAAACTGAGTCTTATAGAAGGGAAAACAACTTGGCAAGGTCATAGCCAAGCCAGGATTTGAGCTCCAGTTCTGTCTCATTATGAAGCCTGTGGTTTTTCCTCTGCACATCACTGAAGAGAATTCTCATGACTTCCCTGAGTCTTCTCTTTCTTTTCTGGGCAAAGGTCCTCCACTTCCTTGCTGTTTCTAGATGATGTAATTTTCACTCCCCTCCCATCTTCCAGACGAGCCAGCAGAGGTGAGGGAAGGAGCGAGGGAAATTGGGCAGGGCCTATATAATTGCGGGGGCTTGCTTGTTTCTTTACAAAGGAAGCATTAGTTCAGGGTAAAAAATCTGTTATCTGACCCAAGGCCGATTACAGGGGATTGATGTCCAAGCTCCTCTGAATTCTCCCATCTCTCCTCTAAAACTAGCAACACATTTTACCACGCGCGTCCCATTCAAGAGCCTGGAGGCATTAGCATTGGCAGAGGCCACACACTGGAGGACTCCCGACGCTCCCAACTTCCCACAGGTGGGAATATGTAAACTAATCAGATAAGCGATCCAACATCAGCCAACCGTGCAATATGAGTCATGGCTCCAGGTGTTGTGGTTTTTGACTGCATAAATGTTGCAAAGTTGTTATCAACAATACAAAACAAAATGGAGGAAATTATGGATACTGGGTGTGGTTGGCTAGGATTTACCAGGGCTTCAAGGTTAAGTCAATTCGAGCCAGCTTCAAATGGGGTTTCAGGACCCCCCCCCCCCGAGGAGCTGTGTTTGTCGGGAGGAATGGGGCAGTGGGAAGCACACACATTTAGTGTCAGTTCTTTTTAAAACCAGCTAACATTTGCAAGGCAACACAGCATAGTGACAAAGCACCTGGACTCTGACATTAGACTGCTGGGTGGGAATCCTGGCCTAGCCTCTTAGGACCTCGGTGACCTTGTCCAAGCTGCTTAACCTCTCTCGGCCTCAGCTCTCCCCTCCTTTCTAATTACTAGGGATGCTGTCAGGATGAAATGAGTTAAGGTACAGAACACATTTAGAACATTTAGCACCTAGTAAGCCCTTCATATATGTTAGCCATGGCTATTCTTCAATGCTAGTCTAACTATGCACTTTCTGTGTATTATCTCATGTAATCCTTATGGCATTACCTTCAGGTGTTATTAGCATACCCACTTAGCAGATGGGGAAACTGAGGCTCAGAGTGGTTAAGTGGCTTGCATATTTACGGTAACGTAACTACTAAGTGGTAGAGCTAACGTGAGAACTCAGGGAATGTCCATCTGGGGTTCATGCTTTTCACTTGTAAGCTTCTCCTGCTGGGGCAGCAAAGCACTGACATGAGATAGTTAGACTGGTGGCCAGTGGAAGCCCTTCCCACAGGCCTGGGCTTGGTCTGCCCCTCCATTGCCTGGTAAGTTGAGGGGAAGCGAGAACAACTGGCAGCAAGCAATTTCAGGAGCCAGAGCGCTGGATAGCACTCCACCTCTTTCTGGGAGCAGGGACCAACCCACATCCCTTACTGCAACTGGCAGTTGACCCCGCTTGCCAGTTCCAGACGTCAACCAACCGAAAATAGGAAAGAGAAGCCCAAGAGCCAGGAAAAGCAAGAGAGGTGACGATAACCTTATGAGGACGCTCAGCGCTCCCAGCGGTGTGATGACAGTCGCAGGAGCAAATGCGTAGGCCCCGAAGTTGGCAACTTCTCCAGCAGCCACTAGGAAATGAAGGAAGGGGAGAGGCTAGTGTGGCTCCAGTGGCCCATCTCCAGACCAAAGAGAGATGGCTTCATTCAGTGTTGGACCATTCATAGAATCCCAGACTCGCATTCCTTAAAATCCTGATCCTATGCTCTCTCCCTGGAGAATCTGATCGGAAGGTCAGGCCCAGATCATCCTGATCAAATCTTTCCATTTCAAAGATGGGGAAGCTAGGCCCAGAGTTCAAGGTCATGTGACATGGCTGTGGGTAGACAACGTCTTGTCGTTGAGCTCTCGTGGCTTCTTCTAGTCCGGGCATGGTTAAGTGTGTCTCAGGGACTGCCAATATTTAGTCTGTATCTTTAAGGTAACTTCTAAAAAAGGTCAATTATCAAATGAAGGAACAGTTCCAGTTATCAATTCCCCAGGTACCAACTGGCCCATACAGTCCTCTTTCCCAGAGGAACTGTGGGTAGTTTACAACAGGTAGGCTGGTGGATAGAAAGTCTGCCATTCTCAAAGGGCTCAGTTCTCCCCACTGGAGTCTCCAGTTTGCAAGTGCCTTTTCCGTCTCTCTGCTGGAAGAGAATGACCTGGGCCTGCCCTTTGAAAGCAGATGATAGATGGGATAGCTCTGGCTGAGACTGGAAATAAAGGGCATTATAAATGGAAAGCTGGCTCATTTTTCATCCGGAAGAATTAGGGTTTGAAAGCAGAGAGGGTGGAAAGTAGGGGAAATGTGCAAATTTGAGCAAACCTTCAGTGGCAGACCAGCCACGTTCTAAGTGAGCCCCTAGAATGCCTGTGGCACGAGGAAATTGGCTTAGGAGTCCCCGCTTCTGCCGTGGAGAAGCCCAAGAGACGACAACAGACAATCATAGCTCCCTATGTTTCAGGGGAAGTTGGGAAATTGCACCTTTATCGTTTCCAGCTCTGTACAAACCTCTCTGAGGATAGATGCTTTATGGGTGAAAAACGGACTTTGGGTTGAGGAAGTGATCTGAGCTACAGATAAGATGTTTTATCTGCAAAGACTGTCACGTTTGCTCCTAAAACTCTGGGCCTCGCATTCCTACTTTGCATACTAGACACAAAAACTCCCCTCCACCCTCCTTTTCCGCTCTGCCTCTGTCATCAATAGGTCAGTCGTTAGTAGCGAGGACCTCACTTACTGGTGAGGAATCCAGCCCACCACATCGCGTCCTTCAGGTAACCAAAGCCTCCATCCACTGTAGACAGAAAAGGACACAAAGTTACAACGTGGCCATACACTCTCTGGCACCTCTTCTATCTCTACCTTCACTCACAGTCTCTAAGGGTTCAACATATGTTAGCTGTGGTTTGCCCTCCGGACTTGCTTCTGGGCCCTCTCGCAGGTGAATTCACCCATTGCCCATGTCTTAAATACCACCCATGTGCTCGTGTCCCTGTCCCTGTTTCATTTATATGCCCTGATCCTTTCTTCTGAGCCCAGATGCATATCCAATCGCTTATTTGACACCTCTCTCTCGGATCTCTCATAGTCATCCCAAACTCGTCCTATGGAATTCTTGAGGGTAAATGCTTCCCACCCACCCACCAAATGAGACTCAGTGACTGGCACCTCCATGGACCTAGTTGCTAATGCCGGAAGCGAGGGAATCGCCCTTGACTCCTCCCACCTCTCCACCTCCTGCATCCAGTTCATCCTGCTGTTTCTGTCTCCAAAGAGCATCTCACATGTGTCCACTCCACGGCCACCACCCAACTCCAAGGGACTATCATCGCCTCTGGTCTGGGTGGAGGCGACAGCCTCCTCTGGTTCTTCTCTTGTCCCATTATAATCCCTTCCTTTCATAGCGGCCAGTGGGCGAAGACTATGTCATTCCTCAGCTTATAGCTGGCCAATGGCTTCCAGATACTCTTGGGATAAAGACCGGAATCCTCAACAAGCCCGTTCTCAGTTTTGACCCTGCTCCCCTATCCAAAGGTATCTCCTGCCTCTCTTCTTACTACAGTCTGGCTGCTCAGGCTTTCTTTTAGTTCTCGAAAAAATGATGAGGTCTTTGCGGCCAAAAGACCTTTGCGCATGTGCTTCTGTGTATGGAAGTCTCCTTAATGATATTTGCCTGAATCTACTCTACGCCAGTGGTCTCTGCTTGAGTAATGCTGCCCCTGAGACCTTTCTCCCTGAACCTTTATCTCTGTTACTTCCACCTGGGGTGTTCTGTCATCTCACCCAGCTCTTCTTCTTCCTGACGCTCATCATTTATAAAGTGAATCAATCTATTTATTTCCTGGCATTTCTCCCACTCAAAAGGAAGCTCCATAAAGCCAGGGACTGTATCTGCTGTGTTCACATGGTGTTCTCAGAGCCTGGTCCTATGAAGACGATGGTAATGGCTAGGTTAAAGACAGTTCTGTGAAAATCCAAATACTCTATGTCACTTTTCATGAATTCCTATTTGTCTAATGAAGTCTTTGGGTTCCTAAAGGAGTTAGAATCTCCCCCAAAAGTTAAGAGCTCTGAAAGCATTTTACTCTGAGGTTTGAAATCTCACAGGATATTAAAATAGCAGAAAATTGAAACTGAACATGTCCCAACTTGGACACATCCTTTTCCCACAAACCTGCTCCTCCTGCATTATTCATCTCACAAAACAGCACCCTCGTCTCCCCAGCTGCTCAGATCATAAAGCTGCATCATCCCTGACGTGTGTTTCTACCCTCCCCTTGGAGCCAGTCAACACCAAACCCAGAAAGTCCTGCCTTCAGAACTGGACTCCACCATTGTCTCCAGGCCCACTGCTCTTCCCCAGGCCCAAAGTTCTGTTGTCTCTCTCCCCTAACTGGTCTTCCACCTTGTCCCCAATCCACTCCCTACCCAGCCACCAGGGATCTTCTCACATCATAAATTGGACTAAGTCATTCCCTGCCCAACGCCTTTCAGTCACTTACAATTACACTCAGATGCTGAAGCCCAGGTTACAAGACCTGCCATGATCTGGCCCCAGCACCATCTCTTACCTTGCTATGCTCCAGCCATCCTGAACCACATTCAGTTTCTAATATCACTCATGTTCTCTCTCCTCTGGGCCTTTGCACATGCTGTTCCTTCTGCCCGGAACACCATGTCCTCCTCTTTCCCCCTTACCTTGCTACCTCCTCATTATTTAGGTCTCGGTTTCTGGATCACTTTTACAGAAAACCTCTCCTAACCCCCAAAGCCTGGGCTTCACATGCCCCTCCAAAATATTGCCATTTTCCCCATGAGAGCACCAAACACACTACAGAAAAATTGCCTACTGACTTGCCTGTCTCTCCCAAGGGCACTGCGTCCCATGCCTAACGTGGCACCTGACACATAGTAGGTACACAATGAATGATGATTAAATGAATAAATACTTTTACACATGATTTCATTTCTCAAGAATAGTTTCATGGACATACATCTTATTTTCCAAACAAGCAAATCCCTGTGGACAAAGACTCAGCAATTGTTTTGTAGCCCATAAGGAAGCTCAATATACTAGTAAGTGAGGGCATTCTAGTATCTGACATTGTTCTAGGCGGAGGTATTTTTATTCCCATGTTGTAGGGAAGTTGTGACTTGTCTATGATGATGCAGCTGATAAGAAATAAAACCAGGACTAGACTTGGGATTTCTGGTTCTTGGCGCTGAGACTATTCCCTCTCTTCACCCCAATAACTGATCACGAGGCTGTCGGGAAATATTGGGTCATAAAGGAAGGTCTCCCGTTGGTGGACTGGATTCCCAGTGGGGTTGACAGTGAGCCTGTTATGCCCTTCGAGGCCAAGCTCTCAAACTGCTTCAGTGAAGGAAGGTTCGTCCGCAGGGCTGGCTGAGGGTTCAGCTCCCAGCACCCCATCTCTGCCTTTCCCCCAGAAGCCTACCAGCCCGCGTGGCCCCCGAGGCCACCAGACGCATGAGGCCTTTCTTCTTAAGGATGACGCTGCTGCCGATGAGGAAGCTGGACAGGAAGGCCAGACCCAGGCCGATGTAGAAGCTGTAGTTCTTCGCGAACCTCTCCCGCCAGCTGTTAGAGGTGACATTGCTGGGTATCTGGGGACTGAGGTCACCGACGATCTGGCACAGGACTTGCTGGGAGGAGCAGTATAGGGTGATCAGGGAGCCTAGATGGGAAGACCATGGTGAGAGAGTCATGCTGGGGACATTGGCACTTATAACTTAAAAATATTAAAACTGACCTTTGTTTCAGACCCTATGCTTCAGCTACAGCGGGGCTCCATCCGCTCAGTGGGGCCCTCCCCTCAAAGCAGCAGTTAACATTCACTGGTGCTTATGCCGGGCTTGCATGAACTCATCAAATTCTTGTGATCACCTGTCCGCTAAGTGCTGTCTTCAAATGCCATTTCACAGATGTGGATTTGGAAGCCATGAGAGGTCATGTACCTTGCCTAAGACCAGAACCTGACTCCAGCACGTAACCACTCAGCTCTTCTGACACGCACACAGCAGGCAGAGCCCCCCAAGCCCCCACCCTCCTCAGAATCCCCTCCCAGCCTCTAAGCCTCCAGTAGCTCAGGATCCACAGGGATTCTCCCTCCAGAGGCCTCTTCACATCCATACCCCTACCCGCAGCCACAGTGGAGGCCCCGGCAGGTAACACGAGAGTGAGGTTGCAGAGTCCACAGCCCTTCCTAGGCCAGAGGATGATGACATGTGAACGTTCAGTTTGTTATAACGGACCATCCCCAGGCCTTACTTCTAAGACCTGTGGTGCCTGTGGCCAGTAGCTGAGGACTGTCTTCAGGCCTCAGTCGAATCAGTGTCCCTCTCAGAATGTGTCCTTAGTTTGCTTTCCAAGTCCCAGCGTCCGTGAGAGTCTGAATCAGTCCTCGTGCCCACGGCCAGCCCACGCTGCTTGCCCTTTTGGCATGAACACCAAGGACAACAGGACAAATGCAGGCCTGAGTCAAAAGCCCCAGAGTCCGGGCCCAGCTCCCTACAGTCATTTTTGCAGTCCAAGTTCAAGAAAATAGTACAGAGCATAGTGAACAACCCTCCAGTGCTAGGACTCACATGGCCCTCTGCTCCAGGGCTCTCCACGGGCCTCCCCTGCGTGAAACTAGATCAGGGATCACGTCCAGGGTTTCAGCTGAAGAGACTGGGGCTCTGCTAAGTCCAGGAACCCGCCTAAGGCGACGCTGCTGGTAATACTGAAATCAGAATCACGCCTACCTGATGCCAAAGCCCATGCTCTGGATCACCCCACACACCCCACAAAACAGGCAGCAAGGGGGATGGCGTTTCATCTGGCCTCTTGAGGGTTATTTGAAAATATGAATTTGTTACCAACATTTAAAAATCAGGATATTTCTCAAGCAAATGCAGCTTTTGGTAACCTTATGGGGCACACCTTCCTAATGTAACGATTGGCTGCCACGGAGCAGCGTTGCCCCCCTAGACAGGACATACTCTTTGCAATGCCCCAGAGTCCGTGCCCAGCTCCCTACAGTCATTTTTGCTATGTGTTCGGCCCTTGTAGGCATTTGAATTTGTAACCTCTGGTGATAGAAGGTCTTTTTCTAACTGCGTGTCATAGACATGGCTCCTGTGTCAAGGATGTGAACCTGGGCCAGGCACTTCTCCTTGGATCAAGCTTGCACTAGAAGGGCCCCAAAGTCCAAGGTACCCAGTGCAGAGTGGCATCTTGGTGGAACTGAATTAAGTGCAATGTTGACCTGTCTTCCATGGCACAGAAATACGAAACCACAGAGCTGCAACAGGCCTTCGAAGGCAACCCTTCGAAGGCAACCCATCTAAGCCTCTTTCAGCTGGGGAAACTGAGGCACCAAGGAGGGGAAGTACTAACTTGTGTCACACAAAAACCCAGTGGCAGCTGGGTGTGGAACCCACCAGGGGACACCTATGTGTCTTTTACGGTGGGAGAACTCTCTTTCTGACATCTGTGTCACAATCGAGAGATGAGACAAGAGCCATCTCAGCCCCTAATCAAACTCGTTCTGATTGCTCACTCGTGTTCCTCCTCTGGGACAAGAGTCAAGTTTGGGGAGTTCCCTGAGCTCAGGAAATGAGCCAGAGCCTGGGAGGACGTGGGCCAAGGAAGGTGACTCCTAAGAGGAAGGTCAAGCCCATTCTCATGCCCATTCCCTGCCCTCCTGAAGGTGCCTCTCCAACAGGTAGAACCAAAGGGTCCACTGTGGGTCTGGCTGTTTTGGAGAGGCCGAAAGTACCCAAGGGGCACAGCACCCTCGAGTTCTCCCGTGAGGGTAAAAAGAAAAAGAGAGAAGGCTGAGGGCCAAAGGAAACCCAATTCTGGGAAGGATGTCATCGGACAAATGGGTATTGGGCCAGATGATTCTTGCTTCTCTTCCAGAATATGCCAGGGCTGGGAACATCTTTTTTTCCCCAGGGGAAGGTGAGGCTGAAAATAAACTACCTGTTGGTCAGGAAGCCAAAGCCAGCCAACACCCAACAGGTCGGCTTTGAAAGCTTCACTAGAGAGAAGTTAGAACCACAGGGGTATCCCACAGGCCTCAACGCCAAGACAGGGAGGAAAGCTTGGAGTTGAGGAGGGTTCCAAGGAGCTGGGCACAGAGCTGTGAGTGCGGAGTTTAGAACCCAAATGGATCCCATTTCCCCCACTGCATCACAGACTTTCCAGAGCCTCAGATTCTCTGTCTCTAGAATGGAGACGGTGAGGTGATAGTATCTACCTGTCTCCTAGAGCTGCGTTAAGGGTTAAATGAGATAATGCATGTAAAGGGGCCTAGCCCACGCCCCACTTCATGGTGAGAAGTCAATGGAAAGCCAGGGGTCTTTCCTTATCCTTTCTGGGCTTGTTCTTTCCCACCTGTTTCTAAAAGGTGTGTGTGGGCTTGGGGTGGGGGTGCCCCTCTCTCCTGTCTTTGGTGGGCCCTAGGGAAACAGCCAGTCCTGGGTAGGTACTAAAATCTGAAGCAACTATACGTTAAAAGAAACCTGGGACCCCACACCTCTAGGTGGACCTGTTGCAATTGGTGCCTGCTCCTGCCTCTTCCTTACCCCGTTTGTCCCCTTTTGTCCCATTGTCCCGTCAGCTACCCAGCCAGCAACATGGGGGAGGTCAGTCAGAACCCTGCTCCTTCCCAAGACAGGCCTGAGGACTGGGTGGGGGACAACTCGTGCAGGCTCCCTCCCCCCTCGGTTTTGGGCAGCCTGGCAGGAAAGGAGCATCAGGAAGGGAAGAAGCGCAGTCCCCTGGGAGCCCGGTCCCCGCCCCCCCAGCCCCTCACCCCGGCCCGCAGCACCCACCGTTCTCGCAGCTGGCATTGCTGGCTGGCAGCTCCATGGGGCCCTGGGTGCAGGCCGACGCGCGATGGCGCCCCGGGCTCCCGGCTCCGGAGCAGGTGCCCAAGACTTGTAGTCGCGTAGCTGGCGTGCGAGAAGCCGCCGGGGTCGGCCCCAGGGGTGGGGAGAATGACCCGCCCCAGAGGGGGAGGGTCCCCGGGGAGGAGTCACCCGGTGTCTTGGGCAACTACGTGGGCCGGGGTCCCCCCCCTGCACGCGAGCTGCCCGCAGAGGGGCGCACGCCCTCCGGGGGCGGAGGCTGCCGGCTGCCCGGCTCCCCGAGAGGGAGTCACCTCTCCTCGCCCAGGGCAGGCGGCGAGGGGGCGGGTCTCCGGGCGCCACCCCTCCCCGAAGCCGGGACTGGCACCCAGTCCCTCTCCAGTGACAGAGTTGATGGGCCCCGATGGCGGGAGAGAGGGCCATTTTCTGGCAAGTGGGGCGTAGGGTCGTGGGGGTTGGAAGGGGGGACAGCTGCCAGTTTGGCCCTCTTGGTCCAAGGCGGTCCAAGACCCTGGGATTTTTCCTTCCTGGCTTCCTTCCTGGCTTCCTCCCTCCCTGCCTCTTCATTCATTCAGCATAGGTCTGGTAGTGCTGGGCACCAGTACACAACAGCACATAGTAGATGCCCAGTAAATAGTCGGGGTATAGGTGGAATGAATGGATGATAGACGCATGGTAAATTAAATGAAAGAAGTGAAGTGATTGGAGTCCAAAATGAGCCATACATAGTCCCTGCCCTCCTAGAACCTTATGTATTATTGTTGGGGGTGGAGGGGGGTCAACTATTTAGAGACTGGTGTTTTCCAAATCACCATAAAAAATAGGGTGACGGGAAGCATGAGTTAGTACTATGCAATAGTGAAAACCGAGGACGAGAAAGGTGGAGGGTATCCCTCTGGCCTGGCCTGTTGACATCATGAGAGAGCACGTTGAGGTTCCAGTGCCCGGTGCCAGCGCTGAGCCCAGACCGTGAGCTACAGACGCCCATGTGTGTGCTTAATGCATTTATTATGTATATGTGGTTTGAGGAGACACTACATTTCAGGGTTCAGGGCTGGGCCCCCTTGCCCAGAGCTAAGGGCAGGACTGAGTTCATCCTGTGCTTTGGAACAGGGCTCTTCAGAGTTAGGCGAATTTGGTGTTTTAGGGCAGTGGGCTGAGGTGGAAGGAGCTGGGATCTCCTGGAGGGCCCTCTACACCCTCTCTGGGCCCCAGGGTCCTCCTTTGTTCTGGGAGGGGGCGGGACCCCCGCAGGGCTGTCAGCCAGTGCATCCTGGGAGTACAGACATAAAGGGCCCCATTGAACTGCAGGCTCCTCACTGCTGTCCTGACAAAGCCCTTTTCTCCCGGGGCCACAATAGCCCTGTGAGGCAGGTAGCAGGGAGGCAGCACTGTCTCCCCAGAAAAGAACAACAGGGCTCACTGTCTGTCCCAGGCTCAGCCTCCCAGGGAGGGCGGGTGCCTTTGAAGAGTCTCACCAGCCTGGGACGGACGGGCTCTGTCCTTAGCCAGCCAGGCACTGCTGAACCAGCCACATTTCATTTGGCCAATTATTTTGGGATGAGCAGAAAAACAAATTTACCAAAACCCAAATTCCTAAAAACGTGGCTTCTCTCAGTGCCTGTCTAAATGGTAGCCACCAGCTCCATGGAACTATTGGGAACTTGGCTAATCTGAACTGTGCTAGACTGTCCATGTAAAACAGGCACAGTTTATGTCTTGGGCTAGATCACTGTCGTGGGGGGCTGTCCTAGGCCTGCAGGGTGTGTAGCAGCATCCCTGGTCTCTGCCCTCTGGATGCCAGCGGCACTCCCTGCCCCTCCCCCCTTGTGATAACCAAAAACATCCCAGACAGTTGCCAAAATTGCCCCAGGTGGAAAACCATGCAGATTTCAAACTTAGTAAAAAAAAAAAAAGCAAAATAATTTTTTAGTATTGATGATTTGTTGAAACGATAATATCTTGGATACATGGGTTAAGTCAATTATATTATTAAAAGTATTTTTCTCTATTTCTATTAAACAATTTAAAGTTATACATGTGGTTCACATTTTATTTCTATTGAACAGTGTTACTTTAGAAGAAGAAACTGAGGGCCAGAGAGGGAAAGTGACCAGCGGAAGGTCCCAGAGTAACAGAGAGGCTGCATCGGGCTTCAATTAGGTTTCCAGACTGGAATTCCAGATCAACTTTACTACTCCAGACAGCTTCCTAGCTGAAAGGAAACCCCAAAATCAATGCACTGTGTGTTTCCAGTGTGGCCAAAGAATGCTGGAGGGGAACAGAGAGCAGAGACATGAGTAATATGAACACTATTCACAGAGCGCTTGTTATGGGTTACATGCACGCTCATGTAATCTTTGCAACACCCCTGACGAGCAGGCTCTGTTAGTATCCCATTTTTCTAATGAGGACACTCAGCCTATAACCCAGCACAGAAGCCAAGAATCCACCACAGGTACTCTTTCCCATGCTACCAGACTGCCCCGTGGTCCCGATCCTTAGCTAGGTCACTTCAGGCATTCCTACCCCAGGTAAGAGGGCTGTGCAGGAGGTGGCTTGCAGTCCTATCCAGCTCTGCAGAGCTGGTCTTCTGGGCAGGCTGGGAAGGACAGATGGCTGTCATCATCTTCAGGCTGACCTGGAATTACGGGAATCTGGACAGTCAGCATGCAGAAGCCAGCTACCTTCTCCAGGCAGGTTCCTAGAATGGCTGCTATCCTTCTAAAGATCTTTATCGTCATTCAAAATAGCATTTGAAATAGACACAGGCGCACTCAGACTGGCCCTAAGAAGAGCACCTTGCCCAGCAATGGGGTCCATGCCAATTGGCATCGATAACGATGAAAACAACACACTAGTACTGACTTCTCCCTCTGTGTGCTAAACACTTTGAAGACATTGGCTTATGTGGTAATTACAATCCCTTACTCTGGGTACCATTTCAGGTTCCATTTTACAGATGAAGGAACTGAGGCTCAGAGAGGTGAAGTGACTTTCCCAAGGTCACACAGAGTAGTAGGGAAAGAACTTCAAGCTGGGCTTGTGGGTTCCCAGAGCAGTTCTCTTAACCAAGGTATTGATTGAGGCTGGAGCCTTCTTCCCAGACCTCTTCTTGGTTTTGCTCTGTATGGGGTGGCTGGGAACACTGGGGCCATCCAGACACCACAAGGCGGCTGTATAACCTTCTCATCAGCCGTCCCTCAGGGTTAGAACTGCAAGGGTGCAACTAATCCAACCCTTTTGGTTTGCAGATGGGGAAACTGAGGCACAGAGGGTGCAAGTTCAGGCCCACATCACCTTGCTGATTGGTGGCACTTGAATGTCAGTCCAGCACTTTTATCTTCCACTATGCTTTTGTTCTGGGTAGAAAGTGCTGACCTCCAAGCAAATAATAGAAGTTATTATTTTTTTTTACCACTTTTTAAGGATGAGCCATTGCACTAAGGATTTCATACACATTATCCCATTTATTCTTCACAATAAGCCTAAGAGTTAGGTCTGTGATTCCTATTTCAGAGATGGAAAAACCGAGGCTCGAGAAGGTTAAGTAACTTGTCTGCAATTAAACAGTGGAGCCGCTGGTGTGGCTCAGTGGATTGAGCATCGTTCCATGGACTGAGAGGTCTAGCTAGGTTCAATTCCCTGTCAGGGAACGTGTCCAGGTTGCGGACTCGATCCCCAGTAGGGGGCGTGCAGGAGGCAGCCAATCGATGTTTCTCTCTCACATCGATGTTTCTCTCTCTCTAAAAAAATCAATAAAAACCTATTTAAAAAACAAAGCCCAGTGGAGCCAAGATGAAACCTGGCAGACTGATCACGCATTTGTGGAATTCCCTCATCAGAATATCTGCCTACAGGTGGAAGACGTTTCAAATTCCTACAGAGGGCAGAGCTCACTGCAGGGAATATATGTGGAAGCGCAGCATTGCTGGGCCTTGGAGTGGGTGTGCAGAGCCTAGTGCACTTAATGTATGAAAAGGAACTTCAGATCTTATTGACAACCAGCACTAGTTACAATGATGCTGAGATGAGCTATGACTTGCTACTTCCGTGTGGCAGGTTCTTTACATGTGTTAACCTCAAGTTCTTAGAGTAGTCTCACCAGGCACATGAAGTTATCCCAGTTTTGCAGCTCATGACAGTGAGTTTCTGGGAGGTCTGGTGAATTGTTCAAGGTCAGGCAGATAATAAAGTGGCTAAGCTGGGATCTGGCAGGTCCTCAAAGCTCGTACTATGGTCTCTTCCTTGTTCCTTTCCTCCCATGTGTCTGAGTCCCTGCTTGGGCAGCAACTCCAGGGTGGTGGATCAGGGGGACTGTAATGATGCTTGTCCCCTGCATCTCTTTGGACCTGTAGCATCTGGTATGTGGGAACAGGGAGGACAGAGGCACAGTGAAATTTGTGGCCAGGGAGAAAGATGGGCGGCCAGGCACCTTGCTCTGCCTACCTGGGCAAATCTCCTGCAGCGGGTACCCAGCTCTCCTGGGTGGCTCATTAACTTTCTGATGACACAGTCACACTGGAAATTCTGGTTCGCGAGCCAGGCCTGGATGAGGGGCCCCAAAAGAATTCAGAACGTGGGTTAAGGTTTCTTCCCGGTTTGACAGGTGGGGCAGGGGACGAAGCTGCCTCTCCACATGGAGCATCTCAGGCAGGACGGAGATCAGATGGGGATGAGGGGGAAGAGAGCGTGGGTAGAGTGCCTCGGGATTGGCTGCAGACCAAGGCGCTGGGCCAATAGAATGCCACACCTTTTTTTTTTTTTTTAAAGCTGAGTCAAAGATCAACTAGTGATAATTATCTGCATTTTGCTCCCCAAAGAAAAATGTTGTTTGTTTTGTGACTGGTCCAATAAATATGTTTGTGCCTCTTCATCTCACGTTCTGCCAGAAAGCCTGGCCTGCCCAGAATGGTCTGACCTTCGGTCAGGCGCCAGAACCATAGAGTGACAGTGCTCAGTTTAGGGAAGGGCCTCACTGGTAATTGTTAGCTTTCTGGAGGTCCCACATCCCTT